GAGATAGTAGGACAACTGCTATGGTCTGGTCCCAGATCTGTTTTACCATCTTGCCAATGGAAGAGATAGTAGGACAACTGCTATGGTCTGGTCCCAGATCTGTTTTACCATCTTGCCAATGGAAGAGATAGTAGGACAACTGCTATGGTCTGGTCCCAGATCTGTTTTACCATCTTGCCAATGGAAGAGATAGTAGGACAACTGATATGGTCTGGTCCAAGATCTGTTTTTATTATCTTGCCAATGGAAGAGATAGTAGGACAACTGATATGGTCTGGTCCCAGATCTGTTTTTATTATCTTGCCAAGTCGGCAGAAACGGATCTGGGACTGGGCTACCACTGGTGATGGCATGAAATGATGTGTGGTTTATATATCATGATACTTTCCTGTGGTACAGTGGCAAGGAGTGAGATGGTAAGACACCTTGTACTGTGGTGGCATGGAATGATGTTTGGTTTATGGTAGATACTGGGAAGGTAGGATGGCAAGTGGTGAGATGGTAGGACAACTGGTACAACTGATACTGGTACACAGCTGGTGGCATGGAATGGTGTTCAGTATGCATATCATAAATGATACTTGTCTGTGCCTGTTCGTACAAAGACACTGCAGACATTTGATTTGCAAGTTGGAGGCTTGCTAATCCAGTGTGATGCAAGGGGAAAGATAGTGCTTTATTCAATTTTTTGTCGTTCAAATTCTCTTTTCTTGTTTCAGGGCAACACAACTACCTGTGTGCTGGGAGGAACGACTGCATCATCGATAAGATCAGAAGGAAGAACTGTCCAGCCTGCCGCTTCCGCAAGTGTCTAATGGCAGGGATGAACCTGGAAGGTACGCTCTTTTACCTTGTTTTATTGTCTGATGGCAGGGATGAACCTGGAAGGTAAACTATTTTACCTTGTTTTATTGTACAGATTCTAGATTTGTTTTGATGTAAGTTGGTGTGCAACTCAGTCTGACTACAAGTTACTACAACCTCAAATACCAGATACAAGTAGATACAGTGAGGGGAAAAAGTATTTGATCCCCTGCTGATTTTGTACGTTTGCCCACTGACAAAGAAATGATCAGTCTATAATTTTAATGGTAGGTTTATTTGAACAGTGAGAGACAGAATAACAACAGAAAAATCCAGAAAAGCACATGTCAAAAATGTTATAAATTGATTTGCATTTTAATGAGGGAAATAAGTATTTGACCCCCTCTCAATCAGAAAGATTTCTGGCTCCCAGGTGTATTTTATACAGGTAACGAGCTGAGATTTGGAGCACACTCTTAAAGGGAGTGCTCCTAATCTCAGCTTGTTACCTGTATAAAAGACACCTGTCCACAGAAGTAATCAATCAATCAGATTCCAAACTCTCCACCATGGCCAAGACCAAAGAGCTCTCCAAGGATGTCAGGGACAAGATTGTAGACCTACACAAGGCTGGAATGGGCTACAAGACCATCGCCAAGCAGCTTGGTGAGAAGGTGACAACAGTTGGTGCGATTATTTGCAAATGGAGGAAACACAAAAGAACTGTCAATCTCCCTCGGCCTGGGGCTCCATGCAAGATCTCACCTCGTGGAGTTGCAATGATCATGAGAACGGTGAGGAATCAGCCCAGAACTACACGGGAGGATCTTGTCAATGATCTCAAGGCAGCTGGGACCATAGTCACCAAGAAAACAATTGGTAACACACTACGCTGTGAAGGACTGAAATCCTGCAGCGCCCGCAAGGTCCCCCTGCTCAAGAAAGCACATATACAGGGCCGTCTGAAGTTTGCCAATGAACATCTGAATGATTCAGAGGAGAACTGGGTGAAAGTGTTGTGGTCAGATGAGACCAAAATCGAGCTCTTTGGCATCAACTCAACTCGCCGTGTTTGGAGGAGGAGGAGGAATGCTGCCTATGACCCCAAGAACACCATCCCCACCGTCAAACATGGAGGTGGAAACATTATGCTTTGGGGGTGTTTTTCTGCAAAGGGACAGGACAACTTCACCACATCAAAGGGACGATGGACGGGGCCATGTACCGTCAAATCTTGGGTGAGAACCTCCTTCCCTCAGCCAGGGCATTGAAAATGGGTCGTGGATGGGTATTCCAGCATGACAATGACCCAAAACACATGGCCAAGGCAACAAAGGAGTGGCTCAAGAAGAAGCACATTAAGGTCCTGGAGTGGCCTAGCCAGTCTCCAGACCTTAATCCCATAGAAAATATGTGGCGGGAGCTGAAGGTTCGAGTTGCCAAACATCAGGCTCGAAACCTTAACGACTTGGAGAAGATCTGCAAAGAGGAGTGGGACAAAATCCCTCCTGAGATGTGTGCAAACCTGGTGGCCAACTACAAGAAACGTCTGACCTCTGTGATTGCCAACAAGGGTTTTGCCACCAAGTACTAAGTCATGTTTTGCAGAGGGGTCTAATACTTATTTCCCTCATTAAAATGCAAATCAATTTATAAAATTTTTGACATGCGTTTTTCTGGATTGTTTTGTTGTTATTCTGACTCTCACTGTTCAAATAAACCTACCATTAAAATTATAGACTGATCATGTCTTTGTCAGTGGGCAAACGTACAAAATCAGCAGGGGATCAAATACTTTTTTCCCTCACTGTATGTTAGTTTGACTGGTTTTTGAGATCATGGTCACTCAATCTACCGCCTCTCCCTCCCGCCCTCTCTCCTTCCCCACAGCTCGTAAAACCAAGAAGCTGAACCGTTTAAAGGGGGTGCAGCAGCCCACCACGGCCGAGCTGACCCCCCCTCCCCTCCCAGAGGCCAGGTCGCTGGTCCCTAAGTCCATGCCCCAGCTCACCCCCACCATGCTGTCTCTACTGAAGGCCATCGAGCCAGACACCATCTACTCTGGCTACGACGGCACCCTGCCAGACACCTCCACACGCATCATGACCACCCTCAACAGGCTGGGGGGACGACAGGTCGTATCAGCCGTCAAGTGGGCCAAGTCCCTGCCAGGTACCACTCTCTCTAAGAGAGACTGTTGGAAACCTGCACCGTATCTACCATAGATAACAGTACTATACAGTATCATCAGGGAAATGGAACCTTTAGTCATTCAGTGTTCTGTTATCTTCCCGTGCAGGGTTCCGGAACCTTCACCTGGACGACCAGATGACTCTGCTGCAGTGTTCCTGGTTGTTCCTCATGTCCTTCGGCCTGGGCTGGAGGTCCTACCAGCAGTGTGACGGGAACATGCTCTGCTTCGCTCCAGACCTCGTCATCAACCAGTATGTCTATTTCTCTGTCTGTCTGCATGTCTCTCTCTCTCTCTCTCTCTCTCTCTCTCTCTCTCTCTCTCTCTCTCTCTCTCTCTCTCTCTCTCTCTCTCTCTCTCTCTCTCTCTCTCTCTCCAGTATCTTGTCTTCAATCTGTTTTGTTCTCTGTCTGTCTAACCATTGACATACCTGTCTCTCTCTCCTCTGCAGGGACCGTATGAAGCTACCCTACATGGCAGACCAGTGTGACATCATCACTAACATACCTGTCTCTCTCTCCTCATCAGGGACCGTATGAAGCTACCCTACATGGCAGACCAGTGTGACATCATCACTAACATACCTGTCTCTCTCTCCTCATCAGGGACCGTATGAAGCTACCCTACATGGCAGACCAGTGTGACATCATCACTAACATACCTGTCTCTCTCTCCTCATCAGGGACCGTATGAAGCTACCCTACATGGCAGACCAGTGTGAACAGATGTTGAAGATCTCCAGTGAGTTTGTCAGACTGCAGGTGTCTCATGACGAGTATCTGTGTATGAAGGTTCTACTGCTGCTCAGCACTGGTGAGTTTCATCCCCGCTTTTACTTTGACCTTTCACACTTGAGTCCATAACAATATGCCAACCTATTTCCTGATTGATGGCTGTGTGTTCCTGGGTTTTTAGTGTTATGTTTTTAATGTTGATCCTGGCATTGGGATGTCAGAAGAAAAGTTTCCTATTTCATCTTATTGCATTTTCACTACATTTTCAACAGACAGTGCATTCGGAAAGTATTCAGACCCCTTGACTTTTTCTACATTTTGTTATGTTACAGCCTTATTCTAAAATTGATTAAATTGTTTTTTTCCCTCATCAATCTACACACAATACCCCATAATGACAAAGCAAAAACAGTTTTTTAGAAATATTTGCACATTTATAAAATAATTATAATAACTGAAATCACATTTACATAAGTATTCAGACCCTTTACTCAGTACTTTGTTGAAGCACCTTTGGCAGCGATTACAGCCTTGAGTCTTCTTGGGTATGAAGCTACAAGCTTGGCACACCTGTATTTGGGGAGTGTCTCCCATTCTTCTCTGCAGATCCTCTCAAGCTCTGTCAGGTTGGATGGGGAGCGTTGCTGCACAGCTATTTTCTGGTCTCTCCAGAGATGTTTGATCGGGTTCAAGTCCGGGCTCTGGCTGGGCCACTCAAGGATATTCAGAGACTTGTCCCGAAGCCACTCCTGCGTTGTCTTGGCTGTGTGCTTAGGGTCGTTGTCCTGTTGGAAGGTGAACCTTCACCCCAATCTGAGGACCTGTGCGCTCTGGAGCAGGTTTTCATCAAGGATCTCTCTGTACTTTGCTCCGTTCATCTTTCCCTCGATCCTGACTAGTCTCCCAGACCCTGCCGCTGAAAAACATCCGCCCATCATGATGCCTCCACCACCATGCTTCACCGTAGGGATGGTGCCAGGTTTCCTCCAGACGTGACACTTGGCATTCAGGCCAAAGAGTTCAATCTTGGTTTCATCAGACCAGAGAATCTTCTTTCTCATGGTCTGAGAGTCTTTAGGTGCGTCGTGTGCCTTTTACTGAGGAGTGGCTTCCGTCTGGCCACTCTACCATAAAGGCCTGATTGGTGGAGTGCTGCAGAGATGATTGTCCTTCTGGAAGGTTATCTGATCTCCACAGAGGAACTCTGGAGCTCTGTCATAGTAACCATTGGGTTCTTGGTCACCTCCTTGACCAAGGCCCTTCTCCCCCGATTGCTCAGTTTGGCTGGGCGGCCAGCTCTAGGAAGTGTCTTGGTGGTTCCAAACTTCTTCCATTTAAGAATGATGGAGGCCATTGTGCTCTTGGGGACCTTCAATGCTGCCCCAGATCTGTGCCTCGACACAATCCTGTCTCTGAGCTCTACGGACAATTCCTTCGACCTCATGGCTTGGTTTTTGCTCTGACATGCACTGTCAACTTTGGGACCTTATATAGACAGGTGTGTGCCTTTCAAATCATGTCCAATCAATTGAATTTACCACAGGTAGACTCCAATCAAGTTGTATAAAAATCTCAAGGATGATCAATGGAAACAGGATGCACCTGAGCTCAATTTCGAGTCTCATATCAAAGTGTCTGAATACTTATGTAAATAAGGTATTTCTGTTTTTTATTTGTAATACATTTGAAAATGTTTATAAAAAGCTGTTTTCGCTTTGTCATTATGGGGGGTATTGTGTGTAGATTGCTGAGGATTTTTATTTATTTTATCCATTTTAGAATAAGGCTGTAATATATCAAAATGTGGAAAAAGTAAAGGGGTCTGAATACTTTCCGAAGGCCCTGTATAATGGAAGGGGAACTGCATAGGTATGACTTACTGGGTTATTTAACACATTTCCTGTTATGTTTAGTGCCTAAGGGAAACACACACACAGAGGTTGAAATATTATGTTGTCTCCCCCCCCCCCCCCCCCCCCCCCCCAGTGCCAAAGGATGGTCTGAAGAGTCAGGCAGTGTTTGATGACATCAGGATGTCCTACATTAAGGAGTTGGGGAAGGCCATCGTCAAGAGGGAGGAAAACTCCAGCCAGAACTGGCAACGCTTCTACCAGCTCACCAAGCTTCTTGACTCCATGCACGAGGTACACATTAGAGGTCTTCACGAGGTACACATTAGAGGTCTTCACGTGTCCAACAGACACCAAAATTCGGAGATAAGACCCGGGACCGGGTCCTAAATTCTGACTTTTTCCTCGGATCTCGGTCTGGTCTAGTATAATTGCCACGGGGTCTCGGATATGTGCAATTAAAGTTGATTAAAGTCCTCTGTTAATGTAATGTGTGTGAGGTGATGAGAACTGCGCAAGCTTCTTATCTGTGTCAGCCAATTGCAACTCAAAATATAAAGCGTGTATCCAGCTGAAAGTGGTTCCAACTGCTCTCCTCACGTGCGCCTGCTGCTGGAGAGAGACAGAGAGAGAGAGAGAGAGAGAGAGAGTAGAGAACGATAGAGAAGAGAGAGAGAGAGAGAGAGAGAGAGAGAGAGAAGAGAGGAGAGAGAGAGGATATATAGAGAGAGAGAGAGAGAAGACGTAGACAGAGATAGAGATAGAGACGATCGATAGATCGCTATTAGCTAGCGCGAGATAATCTCTAGAGCCATCTATATATCTAGCCCGTAGATATATTATGCTCACGCTATCCCTCCGGTCTATAGCTTCATACTCTCTCTCTCTCTCTCTGCTATCTCTCGCTCTCTCCCTCGTCGATCGCGACAGCTCTCTCTCTCTGCGCTCTCTCTCTCTCCTTACTCTATGGCTCCCTCCTCGCTCTCTCCACTCCTCTGCGCGATACGAGCCTTGGCCTAGACTCCTGTTGATTGAGAAGATGGAGTCATTTTTCACTGAAGTAATACATCATTGGAGGAGAAAGAGGAACGTCCTCTGGGACACGTTTTAATATTGTAGTGGAGAAAGATGAGAAACACGTTGCCAAATGGACTGTGTGCAACTCGCTATTCAGGTTTGAGGTTAACTTTTATTTATTTATTTTCATATTTATTGTCATTTTTTAAAATCATTATTGTATATCATTTGTATTATTGTAGGCCTATTTAATCATCTAAACCAGTTCTTTAATGTGGAAAAAATATATATATTTCAATTTGTTGAGACATTTGTGCTGGCTAAATTAAGTTCTAACTGTCTTTTTTAAATGTGTGCTTCGTATTTAGTTTAAGATTAAGGTTAAAACTAGGCCTGTTGTAAAATAAATAGCATTAGCCTATTGCTGTCATTTGTTGGGTAAGCCTACAGTAGGCTCTGACCTTTGTTGGGAATTGCTGCGATATAGGCCTGTTCAAGGTTTAAACCAGTTCTATAAATATGCAACAAGTGTTTTGTTTCATTCTGTTGAGCCATTTTCTTTGGCCAAATTAAGTTCCAACTGTAATGTTGTGTTTTGCGCAATATATAATACAATAAGTTGTCTTGAACGCACTGCACAACACTTCACTTCCTGTTAAACGCGGAACGGGGAGAGCTCGGTTCGTTGTTTTGGAATGTTTTTAAAGTCTATTGAAAAGTTTGGTTACTAGACAGATACCTTTTGCGTTTGGATCCCGTGACATCAGTTGCTCGGACCGCTACTATCTGTCCAGTGATCCTGCCGACCAAGGCCGGGTCTGAGGAGCTGTTTGGCGTAGCAGCTAGCCTAGCCGCTAGCCTAGCTGCCTATCAAGCTAGCAGGGTTTTCTAGAGGGCTTGGACCGCGGATTGTCCCGGGATTGTTGTTTCCAATCTTCCCTGCGACCTCCCCTGTCTGGAACTGCGAGGAGTAACAGCGTAACCTACGTTGCTACCAAGACCAAAGCCGGCGGGAGGACCGTTGAGGACAGTGGTGTCTCTCTATCACAGGTGAAGGATCTTTTAAACAAACAAAATGAGTTCTACAAGCAGTTGTTACAACAACAAGAAAATCGCTTTAAGTCTGAGGACAAAGTTAGGGAAATGATCTCGGAGAAACTGAAGATTGACCACAGGAAGATTTGAGGTGGAGCGCTCCCACAGGACTGGAGACCCCACCACCGACCCAGGTGACAGGCCCAGGCCGATAGTGGTCAAGTTCCTGAGGTTCAAGGACAAGGTAGCTGTTCTGAAAAGAGCCAAGAACTTGAGAGGAACGTACATCTTCTTCAACAAGGACTATCCTGAAGCTGTGCGCCAGAAGAGGAAAGAACTTATCCCAGCCATGAAAACTGCCGGAGCGCATGGGGACGATGTAAGATCCACTATCACAGGCTCATTATCCATCCTCCCTCCAAAAAGCCTGGAAGGGATGAGAGAGCCAAGCCTATGGGTTCGTAGCATCAATCACGCAGCACACACACATACTTACACACATCAGCTGTTTAATGGCCTGCTGAATGCATATTTTTTTTGTTTGCTCTTTTCTATATTATGTATATCTCTGATAAGCTACCCAGGAAAGGGCTGAAAATAGCCCATATTAATATATGTAGCCTTAGAAATAAGGTTCATGAAATCAATAACTTGCTAACATCAGATAACATTAATATATTAGCCATTTCTGAGACTCACTTAGATAATTCATTTGATGATACAGCAGTAGAAATACAATAATATAACATCTATAGAAGAGACAGGAATGCTTATGGGGGAGGTGTTGCTGTATATATTCAGAGCCATATCCCTGTAATGCTTAGAGAAGATCTTATGTCAGGTGTTATTGAAGTAATAATAAATAATAATAATATGCCATTTAGCAGACGCTTTTATCCAAAGCGACTTACAGTCGTGCGTGCATACATTTTTTTTGTGTATGGGTGGTCCCGGGGATCGAACCCACTACCTTGGCGTTACAAGCGCCGTGCTCTACCAGCTGAGCTACAGAGGACCACAAGTGTTGTGGTTGCAGGTTCACCTGGCACATCTAAAGCCTTTTCTTTTGGGGTGTTGCTATAGGCCACCAAGTGCTAACAGTCAGTATCTAAATAATATGTGTGAAATGCTTGATAGTGTTAGGTTCTAAATAAACAGAATAAAACTCACGGACGACTAGGAAAAGCTCAAACCAAGTTTATTCACCCACTGGGTCAAACAGCTGAAAAGACAAAGACATGTTTACACAAGCACATATACAGTGTAAATGTAAATGTTAAGTTGTCTATTATTTTTGTCTATGCATTCGGAAAGTATTCAGACCCCTTGACTTTTTCCACATTTTGTTACGTTACAGCCTTATTCTAAAATAGATTCAATAGTTTTTTCCCCCTCATCAACCTACACACAATACCCCATAATGACAAAGCAAAAACTGGTTTTTAGAATATTTTGCAAATGTATTCCAAATAAAAAACCAAAATATGACATTTAGTATTCAGAAGAGTGGCGACTGTTCCTCCTCACTTCATCTGACCTGACCTCGGCCCGCATTCCTCACTCCTCCCTAATCCACGGCTGTCCAACCTTATCTGTTGACTGGAACCAGACTGTGGCCCTTCTCCTCGCCATAGGATACCTGATGTCTAACATTAACATGTTCTGACAGAATGTACCATTTCTGCACTCCCCCTTTCTCACTCAGTATTTCCATACACCCATTTGTTATGGTAACATGAATAAGGATATTTCAAGTTATTTCAAGTTAGAACCCACAAGTAATGTATGTGATGTAAACAGAGAGGTCTACTTTCTTGGGGACCTGATTATTGACTGGTTTTCATCAAGCTGTCTGCTCAAGAGGAAGCTTCTCACTGTAACCAGTGCCTGTAATCTGGTTCAGGTTATTAATCAACCTACCAGGGTGTTTACAAACACTACAGGAACAAGATCATCCACATGTATTGATCACATTTTTACTAATAGTGTATAACTTTTTCTAGAGCTGTATCCGTACCCATTGGATGTAGTGATCACAATATAGTGGCTATATCCAGGAAAGCCAAAGTTCCAAAAGCTGGATCTAAAATAGAGTACAAGAGATCATACAAAAGATTTTGCTGCGACTCTTATGTGGATGATGTTAAAAATATTTGTTGGTCTGATGTGATTAATAAGGAGCATCCAGATGCTGCACTTGATGAATTTATGAAATTGCTTCTTCCAATTATTGATAAACATGCACCTGTTAAGAAACTGACTGTTAGAACTGTTAAGGCTCCATGGATTGATGAGGAATTGAAAAACTGTGTGGTTGAAAGAGACGGGACAGAAGGAGTGGATAATAAGTCTGGCTGCACATCTGTCTGGCTGATTTACTGCAAATTGAGAAATGATGTGACTAAACTCAACAAAAAGAAGAAGTAACAGTATTATGAAGCCAAGATCAATGATATAAAGAATGTTAGTAGTTTAAATGAAATTATGGGCAGAAAGACAAATTCAACTCCATCTTTCATCGAATCAGATGGCTTAATAATCACAAAACCATTTGATGTTGCCAATTATTTTAATGATTACTTCATTGGCAAAGTGGGCAAACTTAGGCAGGAAATGCCAACAATGAACAGTGAGCCATCGTACTCATGCATAAAAAAACAAATAATGAAAGAAAAGCATTGCAAGTTTGAATTTTGTAAAGTTAGTGTGGGAGATGTGGGAAAATTATTGTTATCAATCAATAATGACAAACCTCCTGGCATTGACAATTTAGATGGAAAGCTACTGAGGATGGTAGCTGACTCTATAGGCACTCCTATCTGTCATATCTTTAATCTGAGCCTAGAGGAAAGTATTTGTCCTCAGGCCTGGAGGGAAGTCAAAGTCATTCCGCGACCCAAGAGTGGTAAAGCTGCCTTTATTGGTTCAACAGCAGACCTATCAGCTTGCTGCCTGCTCTTAGCAAACTGTTGGAAAAAATGGTGTTTGACCAAATACAATGCTATTTCTCTGTAAACAAACTAACAAGAGACTTTCGGCAGGCTTATAGAGAAGGGCACTCAACATGTACTGCACTGACACAAATGACTGATGATTGGTTGAAAGAAATTGATAATAAGAAGATTGTGGGAGCTGTACTGTTAGATTTCAGTGCAGCCTTTGATATTATTGACCATAACCTGTTGTTGAGAAAATGTATGTGTTATGGCTTTTTAACCTCTGCCATATGGTGGATTCAGAGCTATCTATCTAATAGAGGGTTTTCTTCAACGGAAGCTTCTCTAATGTCAAACATGTTAAGTGTGGTGTCCCTCTATTCTATTTTGACCAATGGCAATAAACAAAGCATGTGTGTCCATGTATGCTGATGATTCAACCATATATGAATCAGCAACCAGAGCTAATTAAGTCACTGAAACCGTTTACAAAGAGTTGTGGGGTGTTTTGGAATGGGAGGCCACTAATAAACTGGTCCTGAACATCTCTAAAACTAAGAGCATTGTATTTGGTACAAATCATTCCCTAAGTTCTAGACCTCAGCTGAATCTGGTAATGAATGGTGTGGCTGTTGAACAAGTTGAGGAGACTAAATTACTTGGCGTTACCTTAGATTGTAAACTTTCATGGTCAAAACATATACACTACATGGCCATAAGTATGTGGACACCCCTTCAAATTAATGGATTTGGCTATTTCAGCCACACTCGTTGCTGACAGGTGTATAAAATTGAGCACACAGCCATGCAATCTCTATAGACAAACATTGGCTGTAGAATGGCCCGTACTGAAGAACTCAGTGACTTTCAACGTGTTACCATCATAGGATGCCAACTTTCCAACAAGTCAGTTCGTCAAATTTCTGTCCTGCTAGAGCTGCCCCGGTCAACTGTAAGTGCTGTTATTGTGAAGTGGAAACGTCTAGGAGCAACAACGGCTCAGCCACGAAGTGGTAGGCCACACAAGCTCACAGAATGGGATGGCCAAGTGCTGAAGCGCGTAGTGCGTAAAAATCGTCTGTCCTCGGTTGCAACACTCACTACCGAGTTCCAAACTGCCTCTGGAAGCAATGTCAACACAAGTACTGTTCGTCGAGAGCTTCATGAAATTGGTTTTCATGGCCGAGCAGCCGCACACATGCCTAAAATCACCATGTCCAATGCCAAGCGTTGGCTGGAGTGGTGTAAAGCTCGGCGCCATTGGACTCTGGAGCAGTGGAAACGCGTTCTCTGGAGTGATGAATCACGCTTCACTATCTGGCAGTCTGACGGACAAATCTGGGTTTGGTGGATGCCAGGAGAACTCTACCTGCCCGACTGCATAGTGCCAACTATAAAGTTTGGTGGAGGAGGAATAATGGTCTGGGGCTGTTTTTCATGGTTCTAGCTAGGCCCCTTAGTTCCAGTGAAGGGAAATCTTAACGCTACAGCATACAATGACATTCTAGACGATTCTGTGCTTCCAACTTTGTGGCAACAGTTTGGGGAAGGCCCTTTATTGTTTTAGCATGACAATATCCCCGTGCACAAAGCGAGGTCCATACAGAAATGGTTTGTCGAGATCGGTGTAGAAGAAATTGACTGGCCTGCACAGAGCCCTGACCTCAACCCCCTCGAACACCTTTGGGATGAATTGGAACGCCGACTGCGAGCCAGGCCTAACTAATGCTCATTTTCAATACATTTGCAAGAATTTCAAAAAAACTTGTTTTGACTTTGTCATTATGGGGTATTGTGTGTAGATGGGTGAGAACAATACTTTCTGAATGCACTGTATAAAGAAATGCATGTCGGTGTCAGAAACATGGCATATCATATCTCTGTTCTTCTCTCGGTCTCTTTAGGGCCTAAGCTTTTCTTTCTTTTTTTCTTTAAAAAAAATAAATATTAATATCATACAGTGGAGGCCTATAGGCCTATGCAATGCCCTGATGCATTTAGCGCTAACATCTCTGACAGCTGAACCTTGAGGTGGACAATTATTGTTTTAGGAAAGTAAAAACCGAACCAGCACAGGTCTTTTTGGGTCTCTTTTTCCACCAGTCTTTTCCAAACGGGTCTGGCTGTCCTCGGGTCCATTCGGAACTGGTGGTCTGGAGCTCAATGCTACCTCCTGGTAGCCTGGAGCTCAATGCTACCTCCTGGTAGCCTGGAGCTCAATGCTATCTCCTGGTGGTCTGGAGCTCAATGCTATCTCCTGGTGGTCTGGAGCTCAATGCTGCCTCCTGGTGGTGTATTACAGGGGTTCCCAAACGTTTTCACTGAGGCCCCCCTTCCAGCATTGGGGAACATCCCGTGCGCGCGCCACGTCTATTTCTATGGGCACAAGCACTGTTCATGACACAAATTGTTCACACCCTCTTGTTGGCGGAGATAACATTTAGCTTTTTTTAAGCTAATTCTCTTGCAATTCTATACATTTTGCCATGTCTAATGTGTATTCTTGTGATATTTGAGTGACTCAAACATTACAACAACATCTGTAGAATAAAAAACCTAGCTAAAAAACGTTAGCTGACATGGGCTGGTTGATCTGGACATTTCTGACAAGTTATAAATAGCTCTCTAAGGTCTGCAATTACTGGCATGACAAGAGGAACTGATGATGTACTACCCAAGTTCGAAATGGCATCTAGTGTATTCTACTATTACAACTAATTAATTAATTAATTAATAATTAATATAATTAATTAATTAATATTAATATTAATAATTAATTAATATGCCATTTAGCAGACGCTTTTATCCAAAGCGACTTACAGTCATGCGTGCATACATTTTTGTGTATGGGTGGTCCCGGGGATCGAACCCACTACCTTGGCGTTACAAGCACCGTGCTCTACCAGCTGAGCTACAGAGGACCACACACACACACACACAGTTTGGGAGCCACTGGTTTAGTATACAATGTGTGTTTGTTTCAGTTTCTGTACACATGGCACACAGCTAGATATGGGATTCATGTTTCAGTTTCTGTACACATGGCACACAGCTAGATATTGGATTCATGTTTCAGTTTCTGCACACATGGCACACAGCTAGATATTGGATTCATGTTTCAGTTTCTGCACACATGGCACACAGTTAGATATGTGATTCATGTTTCAGTTTCTGTACACATGGCACACAGTTAGATATGTGATTCATGTATGAGTGGGTTTTGAACAATGATATGAGTAACGATGACAATTTGCATTTGTTGGGACAGGATGTGTTAAATGTGTTCTCCTGTCATTCATCTATCCATGTTTGTTTCAGTGTCTCTGTTTTGTTTTCAATGCAATTTACACTAAGAACATTTCTGTGACCAACAGACAATACATAAACATGTCAGATGTTCTGCTTTCCCTTTAGATGGTTGGTGGTCTGCTGGACTTCTGCTTCTACACGTTCGTCAACAAGTCCCTGTCGGTGGAGTTCCCAGAGATGTTAGCAGAGATCATCAGCAACCAGTTACCAAAATTCAAAGCCGGGAGCGTCAAGCCCCTCCTCTTCCACCAGAAATGACTGTGTGGTGCTTCCGCCACTGGCCGTGTCCGCCGCCGATACACAATGCCTTAAAATCCCCTCACCTTCCCCTGACAGAGGAGACAGGGAAGAGGAGAGGCTGTTTTGGGAGGAAAGTATACAATGTATAAGGGTTTGCGGATTTGGGGATGAAACGAGCGCCATCGAGGAGGAAGGAGAGATTTGTCAAGAGGCAGAAGGCGAGACAGAGGTTTTTTGTTTCGTTTAACGTCAATGGTCTATGATCCAGAATGCAGTATAACAGTAGAAATAAACGTTTTCATAAGTTTAAAGATAATCAAGGTTTGAAATAAACTAACCATTCATGTTTTCTCAGGTGTATGACCCTCAGAACTTAACAATATCTAGATTAAACAAGTATCTATGTACAGATTATTAAGATGATATTTTTTACACGTCTAAGTTTCTGCTGCCACAGTATATACAGTTTATTATACAGGTCATTTCTTACCTCAGCAAAGGTAACACTATAACTATAACTACCTTGTGCTGTTATTCCACAGGTTTACCCACTGTGTATTCCTCTACCTACCGTCGCTTCTAGGACGTTGTTGTAACAGAGTTGATTATCAAGTCACATGACATAAAACAGCTTGTTTTGTTCGTAACTGTCATTTCAAAAGCTTGTTTGCGTTGCTTTTTTTAAGTCAGGCATAACATTATGAAATTGTTGTTTTTGTAATGAAAGCGTACAGTACACAATTCACAGACCTATCTTGGTCTACATGAGGCTGCCTGCTGACTGGGTTACACACATTGTCCGTCAGAAAAGGGAAAAATAAGATGTGCCTTTTTTAGCTTGAAGTCTGATTTTAGCCGTTCTCTCTCTCCAACTGTCCGAGGCTAGATATTCTTCATTCACCATCATGGTTGACCCTCAGTGTATGTGATTGTCTTTTTCATATTACATGCAGTTGCAGTCAGTTTTCCTTTTTAAAATGGCTGCCGTGTTTGTCTGTTGCTACTGCAGCTCAGTAATGGCTCCTCAGTGTGAACTACAGTGGGGGAAAAAAGTATTTAGTCAGCCACCAATTGTGAAAGTTCTCCCACTTAAAAAGATGAGAGAGGCCTGTAATTTTCATCATAGGTACACGTCAACTATGACAGACAAAATGAGAATTTTTTTTCCAGAAAATCACATTGTAGGATTTTTAATGAATTTATTTGCAAATTATGGTGGAAAATAAGTATTTGGTCAATAACAAAAGTTTCTCAATACTTTGTTATATACCCTTTGTTGGCAATGACACAGGTCAAACATTTTCTGTAAGTCTTCACAAGGTTTTCACACACTGTTGCTGGTATTTTTGGCCCATTCCTCCATGCAGATCTCCTCTAGAGCAGTGATGTTTTGGGGCTGTCGCTGGGCAACACGGACTTTCAACTCCCTCCAAAGATTTTCTATGGGGTTGAGATCTGGAGACTGGCTAGGCCACTCCAGGACCTTGAAATGCTTCTTACGAAGCCACTCCTTCGTTGCCCGGGCGGTGTGTTTGGGATCATTGTCATGCTGAAAGACCCAGCCACGTTTCATCTTCAATGCCCTTGCTGATGGAAGGAGGTTTTCACTCAAAATCTCACGATACATGGCCCCATTCATTCTTTCCATTACACGGATCAGTCGTCCTGGTCCCTTTGCAGAAAAACAGCCCCAAAGCATGATGTTTCCACCCCCATGCTTCACAGTAGGTATGGTTTGGATGCAACTCAGCATTCTTTGTCCTCCAAACACGACGAGTTGAGTTTTTACCAAAAAGTTCTATTTTGGTTTCATCTGACCATATGACATTCTCCCAATCCTCTTCTGGATCATCCAAATGCACTCTAGCAAACTTCAGACGGGCCTGGACATGTACTGGCTTAAGCAGGGGGACACGTCTGGCACTGCAGGATTTGAGTCCCTGGCGGCGTAGTGTGTTACTGATGGTAGGCTTTGTTACTTTGGTCCCAGCTCTCTGCAGGTCATTCACTAGGTCCCCCCGTGTGGTTCTGGGATTTTTGCTCACCGTTCTTGTGATCATTTTGACCCCACGGGGTGAGATCTTTCGTGGAGCCCCAGATCGAGGGAGATTATCAGTGGTCTTGTATGTCTTCCATTTCCTAATAATTACTCCCACAGTTGATATCTTCAAACCAAGCTGCTTACCTATTGCAGATTCAGTCTTCCCAGCCTGGTGCAGGTCTACAATTTTGTTTCAGGTGTCCTTTGACAGCTCTTTGGTCTTGGCCATAGTGGAGTTTGGAGTGTGACTGTTTGAGGTTGTGGACAGGTGTCTTTTATACTGATAACAAGTTCAAACAGGTGCCATTAATACAGGTAACAAGTGGAGGACAGAGGAGCCTCTTAAAGAAGAAGTTACAGGTCTGTGAGAGCCAGAAATCTTGCTTGTTTGTAGGTGACCAAATACTTATTTTCCACCATAATTTGCAAATAAATTCATTAAAAATCCTACAATGTGATTTTCTGGAGAAAAAAAATCTCAATTTGTCTGTCATAGTTGACGTGTACCTATGATGAAAATTACAGGCGTCTCATCTTTTTAAGTGGGAGAACTTGCACAATTGGTGGCTGACTAAATACTTTTCTTCCCCACTGTATAACAATAAGATCAATCGATCTAATAATACTCCCAATCTGCATACAGTATTCACCTCCTGATCTCTTGTCTCTTGTACACATCTCATTTTTAAATACTATTATAGCACTCTGCCCCCCCCCCCCCCTCCTCCCCCCCTACTAAAAGGAGATAATGTGAAAGTACATTGTAAAGAAGATGGCTTCAACTCTATTGGATGTTTGTAGAAGGAAGCTATTAATTGTCACCATTGAACTTTATTTTTGTCAGCAAAAGTACTTTTGTCAATCAGTGAACTAATACCTTCTTCCTATTGCTTTTGTTTTAACTGTTGTTTTGCTAGTTGTTTTTTTTGGCCAGTGTCATTGTTGGAATGTGTCAGGGAGAGAGATGCGTCAGCCAATCAAAAATAGAGAGTGCAGATTCCATGTTCTTTTGAGAACGTGTCGAAGGCTCCAAAACCAGGCTGGTTGCTATGGTTTCCACTAAGATTTGATGGGAACATGGCTGTTTTTGAATTGAGTTGTACAGTAGTTGTTGGTCACTTCAGTAACATATAAATAGTAATAGTCCAAGGCAGAGGGCCCCAGTGTTGACCCTCAATACTCTATGTGCTGCTCTCTGTAGGAACACACTTGTGTTTGAATGGATAGTAGAGTGGTGTGTGAATGAAACGCGGGTAACTGTTGCCATTATTAATCCCTAAAGAATCATTATAGCGCTTACATTCTGGCAACGGTGACATGTCACTGACATATCAGACCATTTGACCATTTGATGAGATGAAAACCAGCATACACAGGGGTTCTAGAGAACTGACCCTGGTGGATCCTGGTCAAGGACAACCTCCCCACTGCTGCTCACACAACAACCCATTACCCACCTTGGCACGCCTCCGTTCTTATAGTGTGTGTGTGTGTGTGTGTGTGTGTGTGTGTGTGTGTGTGTGTGTGTGTGTGTGTGTGTGTTACTCAAAACGTTTTCCAGTAAAGCACTTGGTACTAACATCCTTCTCTGTCATCTTGTCTTGCACTCAAACTGTGTTTCTGCGTCCCAAATTACACCCTGTTCCCTATGTAGTGTGTTACTTTTGATCAGGGCAGGGCTCTGGTCCAAAGTAGTGCACTAAATAGGGAATAAGGTGTTATGTGGGACGCGGTCTGTAGCTTAGTTGATGAGGGGGGTACAGCTTAGGGCCACATTCTGTCCTCTAAGGACTTTCAGTGCCAAACTTTAACTCTCTTTTTCCAGGTTTGGAAAACAGTCCTCATTTTAACAGTCCTCGTTTTAACAGTTGTCAGTGTTTTTTCAGAAAAAGATTAGGAAAAAAACGAAACTACTTAAAACGCTGATGTCCACCGTGGATTGAATGGATTATTAAAGAAACTAAAAAGGTTAACTATTGACCTTTTGGGTTTTCCCACACAAGAGATTCCCTAGCATTAGTATAGATAGCAAGTTGACCCTCTAGTCTAACAAACCCTTTCTATACACATGTACTTAGGGAGCTAAATGAGTTCAACAGGAGTTTGTCATCTTTTTATGATTTTATTGTCATCATGTTGTCACCAAGAACATTTCCCAGCTTTGTCATCCATGTTTTGTTTTTTTCTGTGCAGATTCTCCTTCTTTCTCCTGTCATCTTCTTCTGTGTTTGAAACACAAACCAACCCAGGTATCAAAATGAATGTGAATCTCTGTACTAGGCCAGGCGGGGGTAACTGAAGTCCTCGAGGGAGGGCATAGTGTCTGCTGGTTACTCTTCCTCACACCTGGCACGTATTTGATCCATTTAATGTTACTAGTTGCTCTTAGAGGGCAACATACCTGGTTCAATCCAGTCACTGGTTTAAAGGAAGAGACAAAAACCAGGAGACATTCCGCCCGGCAACAGAGGACTGGGGTTTTCCACCTATGCTCTAAAGGGGAAATTGTTTTATTCTAAAACATACAGTAATGTACATGTATGGTGATGTCACTCTCCGCACATTTGAGGGGATTTGAGAGAATTGTTAACCCGAGACCTGAATCGATTTTGAAAAGATGGGGTGTGTTTTAACTGGCATTAAAAATACAATGCTAGTTATTTGTGTGCTGTAATTGGTCTATTTGCGTGTTGGAAAAAAATGACATCTCTATTTTCTGATTTTCATGTCAACATCTAATAAGAAGCTATACATCAGTGATTATTAAGAACAACTATACCATACTCAGGTTGTTGTCATTGGTTGAAAATGTATGTGGTCGTCTATTTTCACTGATAGAACTCCTTAAAACCAAAAACATTCCGTTTTGATTCCCAACATTGTGTGTTTTTCTGACATTCATTAATTAACAGTCAGGTTAAATAAAAGCTCACCTGGCTGTTCAGGTAAATTAGTTTCATGCATACTGTACACGCCAAAGTCATCTGATATTCTCTCTACTGGGTTAGCCATTGTTAACTTCCTAATCTATCCTAAACGAAAACATGTTATTTTTCTTTCAATGGTGATACAAAAGTAGTTGAGCAAAATCAGAAAATGATTTCTCCCTATCTAACCCTGCTTCTGGATTTCTTATGGGTTACTTTCACATTCAGTGTGGCTACAAGTCGTTGTCTGCTGTTGCCTTTCATATAACAGGCATGAAACCACTAACTACTCACCTCTCCTTATCCAAAAATGTATTGGTCTCTGTGGAATTGTATCATGCGGTACATTTTTGACAAGGAAATCAAAAAAAAAATATGCAATATAAATTACAAATACATGAGTTACTTGTTGCTCTAAACAGATTATAGACGTACTATGTCATTTCTTTTTTTCTATTCCAATATAAGCTATTTTAGAAAGAAAATGTTCACTTTCACTTTAAGTGATCTATCTTCTGTATTTCTGTACAGGACAGATTTTTAGGAAACCTTTCAACAGTGTCAATATATACAATTTATTTAGACAACACAAAACACAGTTCTAGTATATTAGATGTTCTACCAGGTGGCCAAAGCAAATCCAGACTCAAAGTTCAGCATATTTCCCTGTAGTCTTAGTTGCTCTTGGAACGACAGACGTACAGGACTTTTGTTTTATAACACATTTTTATATTTCTTTTTTTTTTGTGTAGCTTTGGTCAAATGGTATGTACTAATGCTATGCATATAGTAGTCAGTCAAAAAAAATTTAACATGAAAACTGTTTGTGAAAGTAATCAACCAGCTTGAACCTGACAATTTGCACTACCCCAAAATATTGTTTTGAAATTCTATTTTGTATAAAACATATGCAGACGTTAACTTTTGAAACGTATTATCAAGGGCAGAACAATGATAATGATGATGATGATTCACTGGTATATGCTTTTCTTTGAAGCTTATTTGTTTTGCTTGTACACATAATCCAATGTAAAGAAAAACAATGTGTTGTATTTCCCCCACAGATAATAATCGTTGTATATGTCCTCTGTGTTATTACTCATCTGTAGTAGGTCATGTTGATGCTTTTCCTTCCATTAAATGTTGAACTGTACGTCTTTGTTGTGTGTGGTACTTTTCAAAACAAGGAATTTGAATGCAGATTGATCATGACGTTAACTCACTTCTTCTGAACAATGAAAATGGCTACCTTGTTGTCAGATGGCTACCTTGGTGTACTTTTAATAATCACATTATTACAATAATTAAGCAATGGTTCATCCAATAAAGGGGCTTTTCCATTCTGGTGCTTATTGGTTTGATTTGTAACCTTTTGTTGGATGACAAAGGACTTGATCAAATGGTTTCCTTGGCTTGCTGCCAGAGGACCTATTCTAATTTATGGAAATGGGTTTTAATGTCCTGACACCGAACGATACTCCTACACCAACCTCCCTTTTCATGTCAGTCTAATATTGCTACTGCTAGTCTCTTGGTATCAGCATTTCAACACAGGATTTCTATGATGACCACACTTGGTGCCCCAAAGCCAGTGATGTTGGGAGAAAACTGCTTTTTGTTTCTTATTGAGGCCCCTAAACATAATCCCAGATATGTTTGTACTGTATGGCCAACTCCTATGGTTGTTGGCTTACAAAACATTTTGCCATGGAAAGACGCCACAAACAGATTTTGGACCAGGCTACAAGGCTCTAACTCCTTCACCAAATTCCAGATCTTGGACCAGGCTACAAGGCTCTAACTCCTTCACCAAATTCCAGATCTTGGACCAGGCTACAAGGCTGTAGCTTCACCAGATTCCCAGGCGGTCTCTATAGTGAGACGGTTTTCAGTTGACTGACCCTGATGTCATGCAAACTCTCAAGTCATATCCTGGTTGTCAAGGGAGATGGGCTCCCACCTCAGGAATGTGGATCCTCATTACTGGTTCCCAAGTGACTTTTTCTTGCCAATGTTGTCCTAAGTTGAACTTTGTAGGGGTGTAGTCTTTGTTTGATTACTTTGTTGAAGGGTGCCATTCAATGAAGTATTATTTATTGTTGTAGGCTACACAACAGCATAGGGAACGATGAGGCCCACAAGGATTCCTGGGAACTGGGATGGATCATTTTACCTTGTAGCCATGTTCTCTCTTATTGCAAGAGTTTGAATAAGTAATTCATTTATTTGCTCAGATTAGTCTCATTGAGTTAAAAATCTATTTGGATATTGAGACCAGGGCCTGTATTCTCTCACAGCAGGTGGTAATCTGGGATCCGTTTGGCCTTTTAGATCATAATGAATAAAATGATATGGACAGGAGGGTCCTGATCCTAGATCAACACTCTTACTCTGAGAAGCTTTATGAATAGTTTACAGGCCATGGTCCAAGATAACAGGAACCACCAGCAGGTGTATGTATAACAGGTGTCAGTGTTGTATCCTAATAGTGTGTTTCTAATTGTAGTCCTCCACATCCTGGGTGGGGGAAAATGAGCAGATTAGGCTACGGGTACGCGCCCTCTTTGGTGGTCAGTGCTCTGCTCCCACGACCAAACGCGCGTGACAACAGATCATTGTTGCTCCTGCTGCTGACTGTAAAGTCCAAACAAACATGTTTCTGTTCGCCGTCAAGCGGCGATTTTACCACCGGGCTGTTTTCGTTCGTACAGCATCCGCAGAGAGCGCATCAGGTGGTTTTTCTTAGGTAGACTGACAGACCGTCGTTATTTTAATTTAGAGCGCATCCAAAAAGATGACGGATGCAGAAATAACGGATTTACAGGTGGGGCAGGAGGTTGAGAGATTCGGAAGTAACCTGCTAGAGAATAAAAAACTGACCCGCCTATACTGCATGAATGGCGGACATCATCTGCAAATTCTCCCGGATGGGACAGTGGGAGGCAAGAGGGACGAGAATGACGTTCACAGTAAGACCAGAAATACTCGAATATTTCAATGGATTTTGTGTTCTCAAATGGAAAAATAAAACTATGTCAATAATAGAAAAATCTGTCATTAATTCGGCTATTATGTTTATTAAATTGTTCATCCAATCAATACATTTGTATTTATCTGCATAATTACCTTTATATTAAACAATAATACATAATACATTTATGTTGATACATGCGTTAATGGTTTGCAAATGTTCACTATCGACTTAAAATAATGTCCAGGCTCATACTGTACATTTCAGTACATTTAATCATCAGTCTCCCACATTGTAATAATGACCCATAATCATTTTATGGCTCAATAATGACAATGTGGGTGTGAATCACTGAAAGCCTATCTCTATCATGATAGGAATGTGTGGGATATATTTACACTGCAACAACACAGCTGGTTATGTGCTTCAGAAATATTCTTGCAGCTCTGCAGACAATTGTATTAGTAATATGCTACCGTTATTAAAAGCTCCCAGTGACATAACATCTACCGTTCATACTGAGGCTATTTAGATGAGAGTTTTCTCAAAGGAAAGTCTGAATGTTGCATAATGTCATGATAACCGGACTGCAACAACAACAACAACAAAGGTAGCTAGCCCCAGTGTTTCAAATTGTAACCAACTTCCACATGCTGACTACGTCACTGTTTCTTTTGGTCTGTCCTCTCCAAATCTCCTCTCAGGGTTGTCCTTCTAGTTTGTGTCTATTTGTTATCATGTGGAAGTTTATTTTTAAGGATGGTTGGAATGTTTCTGTTGAACTTAGTTTGTTAGTTGTGGGGGGGAGGCAGGGGGCGCGTCCGTCTGTGTCAATCTGACGTTGACTTGTGCCCTATCCTTTCCTCAGCGGTCCTGAGGTTGAAATCTGTGGACCATGGTGTGGTTGTCATCCAGGGGACAGAGGCAGGACTCTACTTGGCCATGAGCAGTGAGGGAAAACTACACAGTTCAGTGAGTATTAAACTGCCTGTATGAATATGTTGTCATGGTGACCCCTTCACCCTGCCTAACTACCCTAGCCACAAAGGTCACAGAAACATTTTAATACTTCTATCCTTTTCATTCAAACGGCTAGTTACGTCAACCTTACCAATCTATAGCCTTTGGCCACCCCCAGAACCTTACCAATCTATAGCCTTTGGCCACCCCCAGAACCTTACCAATCTGTTTTGGACTATCTGTATCCTTTGACCACCCCCGGAACCTTACCAATCTGTTTTGGACTATCTATAGCCTTTGACCTCCCACAGGTAATCTAATCAACGATCAGCATATGTTTGTGATGACTAAGTATTCCGACCACCTGTGTTTCTGTCTCTCCCATGTAGTCAATAGTAACGGATCAGTGTTATTTCCTGGAGAAGATAGAGGTGAACCATTACAACACGTATCAGGCCCAGAAGTACCAGGACAGGAGCTGGTACGTGGGACTGAAGAAGAACGGGAAACCCAAATTAGGGTCCAGAACCCACATAGGGCAGAAGGCCATCTTCTTCTTGCCCCGGCGGTTGGAGGGCACAGGGGAGTGAAGGGGTGTAAGGCCAGGGGTGCATCAAATGGCCAAATGTAGTGCACTATATTGGGAATAGGGTGCCATTTTAGACGCATCCATTCCAAGGTGCTCATTGGGAAATTGCAGACAGGCTAAACAAACAGTATTTGAAATTTCAACTAGCACTGAAGCTTGAGTTGCAGGTTATAACAGCAGCTATAATGCCTTCACTGACCTGTTATAGATGCTGTCATCTGTATAAACTGTTGTAGCTATATGATGGACAGCTAACATGCAGAATCATGCTAAAACCTGACCAAATGAATCATTCTACTCCACACTACATCTAGACTATGCCGCTAGCTAGAAATATAGAATGTATATATCTCTGCTGATGTGATATGACTATTGTTCACTGTGGTCCTCTGTAGCTCAGTTGGTACAGAATGGAGCTTGCAACGGCAGGATATTTGGTTCAATACCCGGGACCAGCCGTACGTAAAATGTATGCATGCATTACTGTAATTCGCTTTAGATAAGAGTGTCTGCTAAATGACTAAAATGTCAAACGTATTTAAATATAATCAAGGATTGAATCATGACAACACTAATGCTATGTAGCTATATATGGAAATGCATGGTTAGTGTCTTTCACCAGTCAATTCTTATAGAAAGCTGATGGGATAAGATATCACATACTGTACATTGAAAACCATAAAACCCTCTGGGAACTGTAGCTGTTTGTGTCGTCATTGCATCTTTCAACCACAAGGTGTCAGTGCTGCACAATATTTTCCGACAAGCCTCAACTCTCTTGCAAAGCCTGCACGCAAAACCTGCAACAGAGATCATCAACCTCTCTTTTAAAAAGTGACATTTATTAGACATGAAGCTTTTTTACAGTTTAAAACATCTCATAACAATAAAATCCCAAGGATCCAGCTGTACCACTTCCCACAGAGATCAGAGCTGTGTGTCTCTCGGACTGGGTTTGGATCTTAGCTGCGCTGTACCATTCCACATACAGGGCTAAGCAAGAAATCTAAACAACTGGTTTAAAACAGACTGGCTGGCATACAGGGGGGTCCGTTAGAGCGGGTTTGAGAGAATTTAGTTAATAATTTGCCAACAATTGCTTAAAGAGAAAGATCGACAAGTAAGAGTATATTTTCTTGTCTTCTTACTTCATCTAATTAGTATGGTCATAGACCACTTATAAATTGCCATATCACCCTTATGAAAGCTCTGTACTCACTGAATAACTACAGGTACTACCGTTTGGTCATGTATAGTTGATTGCATGGATAATATGTCCGTTTCCATTGGGAGGAACTCCCTGGGGTTTTATTAGAATGTTTCTGAAAGTGCACCTGCTTACATTTTTATGATAGCATCATAGTTAGTTTACATACCTAATGTGGTAATTCTCTACACTAAACAATAAAACTGCATGACTTGTACAACAAAAACACTTGCACGACATCTTTACCTTCAGATGTGCACGTACGGTACTTTATGTGCGCACATACCTCAAACGTAAAAGGTAGGATTCTGTCTTATAGGAATAATTAATGACTCAAAATGTAGCATAGAACTCTGCCCTCTATTGGCTAGAAATAAGGCTTCTTATGGAGCCGACAGGTATTGGGCATAATTACTTGTTATAAGCATGTATAAAACGTCAATATGTTTTATTACAAACTCAAATTGTAATGCCATATGTGACTATTTTTTTCCATCCTGAACTGGTTGATCTCATGATTACTATGAACTGATACGAAAACATAAAGGTGCTTATGACAAGTCTTATAGTGCATTATGACTGCATTGTAATGCATTATACCTGTGGGCTTTGAACAAAGTGTTACCGAAATAAGACTGATCCCTATTGGCTTGAGGGGCAGATGCATGCTAATACACCACCATCAAATGATAGAAGGCATTACCCATACATTACAGACTGAACATGTAAAATAGCACAACATTCGCCACTAATGAGTACATAGTTAAATGACTACCATAATCCATTAATGAAGTTTTCAAATAAAATAATAAAAGATACTTATTTAATTCCTGAATGTTACAAGAGTTGTCTTCATCAAGATTTCGTTGTGTTTTTCCATCCGGCCGCGTGGTGATTGGCCGCGTGGTGATGGGCCGCGTGGTGATTGGCCGCGTGGTGATGGGTATCGGAGTAGTTTGGTTTTAGACTTTTGCAGTTTTGTTGCTTTTTTGTCGGTGTGATGCTTTTCAAACATCCAAGATTCTTTATCCAGATCCAGGGACGGTTTGTTTATTCAAAAACCAGCTGCGTGGAAAGCAAACAGGAGATAAGTTAACGGTGGAGATCAGTATCTCTGCAGGAGGACGGTTTACTATGGATCATGTTTGTTTGTGCTATCGTTTACATGTAACCAGACTACATTGGAAGGAAACTAGTGAGTGGAGAAAATCTATATGATTTGGTATATTACCAGTACTAATACTTGTATTTCTTATTAAAGGACCAGGCTTATGATTTAATAAGGTCTTATTCTGCTGTAACTAAGGAATGCTGTGTGAATTAGGGCCTTACCTTCAGTAGATGAACAGGACTCTCGTTCGGGGCAGTGTGGTGTAAGTGGGGTCGGCCATTTTGCGAACCCGGGAGTAGTTGACAAACCCTCTGACGAACAGCATGAAGCCTGGAGTCAAAACAAAAAGACAACAGCATCCATTCCACGATGATCTTTCACACACATTAATTCATTCAAATATAGCTGACTTCAGCTCCACTTACCCATTGCCAGGAACACCCACCACAGCCAGTACTGCCCATCAAAGTAGCCAGGGAAGTAGGTGGAAAACTGGAACGTTCAAAAGACAGTAGAATAACATTAGGGGCCCAGTCGTACACACAGTAACATTCCAAAGCAATTAGGGCTGGGCTGGAACAAAAGCCTAAACTCCCCGTAGCACTCCAGGCCCAGTGCTGTAAAGAAACAGTGAGAATTATATACACGGGGGATATAACCATCCCAGCTCTGCAGATTTTGCTGCAAAGCGACAGAACCATTAGATAATTTGTTTTGGTACTGTCCATATGTAGCTTGTTTTTGGTCACAGGTCCAGGAATGGCTGAAGAATTGCAACATTTACCTGGAGCTAACCCTGCAGATAGCACTACTGGGTGATCTGAAAAGTCATAGTCAATTGATCAATAATATAATAATACTTTTAGCAAAACATTTTTATCTTTAATTAACAATCTGTAGAAACTATGAGAATAGAAAGGTTCAGAACTTGCGTGAAACATCACAGCAAAGATGAAAAATATATGACAAATAGAAATCAAAACTGGATGGTCTTCAGAGATAGATGGGAGGGGTCTTCTTGGGTATGACGCTACAAGCTTGGCACACCTGTATTTGGGGAGACTCCAGTCTGAGGTCCTGAGCGCTCTGGAGCAGGTTTTCATCAAGGATCTCTCTGTACTTTGCTCCGTTCATCTTTCCCTCGATCCTGACTAGTCTCCCAGTCCCTGCCGCTGAAAAACATCCCCACAGCATGATGCTGCCACCACCATGCTTCACCGTAGGGATGGTGCCAGGTTTTCTCCAGATGTGACGCTTGGCATTCAGGACATAGAGTTCAATCTTGTTTCTCATGGTCTGTGAGTCCTTTAGGTGCCTTTTGGCAAACTCCAAGCGGGCTGTCATGTGCATTTTACTGAGGAGAGGCTTCCGTCTGGCCACTCTATCATAAAGGCCTGATTGGTGGAGTGCTGCAGAGATGGTTGTTCTTCTGGAAGGTTCTCCCATCTCCACAGAGGAACTCTGGAGTTCTGTCAGAGTGACCATCGGGTTCTTGGTCACCTCCCTGACCAAGGCCCTTCTCCCCCAATTGCTCAGTTTGGCCGGGCGGCAAGTCTAGGAAGTCTTGGTGGTTCCAAACTTCTTCCATTTAAGAATGATGGAGGCCACTGTGTTCTTGGGGACCTTCAATGCTGCAGATATGTTTTGGTACCCTTCTCCAGATCTGTGCCTCGACACAATCCTGTCTCGGAGCTCTACAGACAATTCCTTCGACCTCATGGCTTTGTTTTTGCTCTGACATGCACTGTCAACTGTGGGACCTTACATAGACAGGTGTGTGCCTTTCCAAATCATGTCCAATCAATTGAATTTACCACAGGTGAACTCCAATCAAGCTGTAGAAACATCTCAAGGATGATCAATGGAAACAGGATGCACCTGAGCTCAATTTCGAGTCTCATAGCAAAGGGTCTGAATACTTATGTAAATAAGGTATCTATTTATTTTTATAAATTTGCGACAATTTCCAAAAACCTGTTTTCGATTTGTCATTATGGGGTATTGTGTGTAGATTGATGAGGAAAATGTTTTATTTAATACATTTTAGAATAAGGCTGTAACGTAACAAAATGTGGAAAAGGGAAGGGGTCTGAATACCTTCCGAATGCACTGTAAATAGTATGTATAAACTGGAATTAGAAGCCTAAGTGTTGTTGTCCATTAGTTTACTCCAATTAGGGGAGGGGTGGTGGGGTTAGGGGAAAATAATAAAGGAAAATATATCAAATAAAATAAACATGTATATATTTCAAATAATATATACAGTTGAAGTCAGAAGTTAACATACACCTTAGCCAAATACATTTAAACTCAGTTGTTCACAATTCCTGACATTTAATCCTAGTAAAAATTGCCTGTCTTAGGTCAGTTAGGATCACCACTTTATTTTAAGAATGTGAAATGTCAGAATAATAGTAGAGAGAATTATTTATTTCAGCTTTTATTTCTTTCATCACATTCCCAGTGGGTCAGACGTTTACATACACTCAATTAGTATTTGGTAGCATTGCCTTTAAATTGTTTAACTTGGGTCAAACGTTTCAGGTAGCCTTCCACAAGCTTCCCACAATATGTTGGGTGAATTTTGGCCTATTCCTCCTGACAGAGCTGGTGTAACTGAGTCAGGTTTGTAGGCCTCCTTGCTCGCACACGCTTTTTCAGTTCTGCCCACATATTTTCTATAGGATTGAGGTCAGGGCTTTGTGATGGCCACTCCAATACCTTGCCTTTGTTGTCCTTAAGCCATTTTGCCACAACTTTGGAAGTACGTTTGGGGTCATTGTCCATTTGGAAGACCCATTTGCGACCAAGCTTTAACTTCCTGACTGATGTCTTGAGATGTTGCTTCAATATATCCACATAATCTTCCTTCCTCATGATGCCATCTATTTTGTGAAGTGCACGAGTCCCTCCTGCAGCAAAGCACCCCCACAGCATGATGCTGCCACCCCCGTGATTCACGGTTGGGATGGTGTTCTTCAGCTTGCAAGCACCCCCCTTTTTCCTCCAAACATAACGATGGTCATTATGGCCAAACAGTTCTATTTTTGTTTCTTCAGACCAGAGGACATTTCTCCAAAAAGTAAGATCTTTGTCCCCATCTGCAGTTACAAACCGTAGTCTGGCTTTTTTATGGCGGTTTTGGAGCAGTGGCTTCTTCCTTGCTGAGCAGCCTTTCAGGTTATGTCGATATAGGACTCGTTTTACTGTGGATATAGATACTTTTGTACCGGTTTCCTCCAGCATCTTCACAAGGTCCTTTGCTGTTGTTCTGGGATTGATTTGCACTTTTCGCACCAAAGAATGTTCATCTCTAGGAGACAGAACGCGTCTCCTTCCTGAGCGGTATGACGGCTGCGTGGTCCCATGGTGTTAATACTTGCGTACTATTGTTTGTACAGATGAACGTGGTTCCTTCAGGCGTTTGGAAATTGGTCCCAAGGATGAACCAGACTTGTGGAGGTCTACAATTTTTTTTATGAGGTCTTGGCTGATTTCTTTAGATTTTACCATGATGTCAAGCAAAGAGGCACTGTGTTTGAAGGTAGGCCTTGAAATACATTCACAGGTACACCTCCAATTGACTCAAATGATGTCAATTAGCCTATCAGAAGCTTCTAAAGCCATGACATAATTTTCTGGAATTTTCCAAGCTGTTTAAAGGCACAGTCAACTTAGTGTGTGTAAACTTCTGACCCACTGGAATTGTGATACAGTGAATTATAAGTGGAATAATCTCATGCACAAAGTAGCTGTCCTAACCGACTTGCCAAAACTATAGTTTGTTAACAAGACATTTGTGGAGTGGTTGAAAAACAAGTTTTAATGACTCCAACCTAAGTGTATGTAAACTTCCGACTTCAACTGTATGTATGGGGGATTGGAAATGATGCAGACAATTACATTGATAGTAGCCACAATCTGCAATATTAAAGCTGATCTACCACCTAAAAAATACATTTAACAAAATAAATTAAAAGAACAGTGAGGTGAAGTGTGTTGATCTTACCCTGACTATGAGAACCCATTTAATGAGAGACAGGCCGAACCCAGAGATGGCTCCGTAGCGGCCGGCTGCAGAAGTGGTCAGACAGAAGGACAGGAAGAAACCAATCCAGTTGAACAGGAATGCCACTGGAGAGAAGAGAGGACAATCAATCAATCAACCAATCAATCATACACCACTAATGAGAAGAGGCACATCAGTTAACATGCTTGCTGTTCACCACACATAGACCATGAAGCTTTTTGGAAGATTATACAACAGCTTTTCTAATATCCCAAACATCCTCCTTATGAACCGGTTGGACAAGTCCCTGGCTTGGCTTATTTAGTTGCTTGTTTAGTGTACCCGTGAACCCATGAGATGCAGACAGACATTGTCTGCCCATAACAATCTCTACGCTGTACAAGAAACAAGAGAGAAGACTTACTGAAGAAGGTGAGCATGAAAATGCCATCATTCCCTATCCGCAGCTGGTCAGTATCGTCAAAGTCATCCTCCTGAAAGGAAAAATAGGAAATGTATGTTTTGGTTGTGTGGCAAAACAAGTTGTCAAGACATCTTCCAATGATGATGGTCCAAACGTGTTTATTGAGGATGTAGGCTCCCACAATGAAAAATACCTCAATGAATGAATGAACGATTATCGCTGTGAAAGGAGGACACACATACCACGACCCTGCCAGGGACCAGAGGGACTCCAGTCTCAGCTTTGGTCCTCTCTGCTTCATCATAGGAGGGCAGTGTGGTAGCCACGTTGTAGGACGGGGGGTTGGGGAACCTGCCTGCATCCTCCTTGTAGTCAAAGAACGCTGGAGGGGAAATGGAAAGGTGCAGAAAACAAAACATGAGTGACACAGCACATTACTGATGGCTAGTAGCAAGGTGAAGGTTGAGAGCTCACCCAAAACCACAGCTTTGCACTGTAGCCTTTACTTTTGAGCACTAGAATAAAATAAACAACAATATCCTATCCCTGACTTGCATCGGTCCTCGACCCCAATTGTCATATGAGATTAGTCAATATTTTGCCAGTTACTGTGTGTAGTGCTATGGACGGACAGAGGCCAATTACCTGCGTTGGCAGCTGAGATGCTGCTGTAGGGGGGAGGGGCTTCCAGGACAGCTGCTTCCTCCTGGGGAGGCTGGGCAACTGCTGGCTCCTCCTCATTCAACAGCTGGAGGAATGGGCCAGAGCATCACACACACGATCAGTGGGATGACGCTGCTGTTGCACTATTCTGGCCGTAGCCTATGCTGAGAGAGTAATTTAGCTAGCTGCTTCTGTGCTTATACCAGAAAAATACATGAATGTAGGTTAATGTAATCATTAATCTATTTCCTAGTGAGAAATATTGACTGGCAACACCCCATCATTGACCAGAACCTTTGATACCCGAGGGGCATCCTACAAAAGCAGGATCACTGAGTTAGCCAGCTAACTTTGATAAACAACCAGAAATTACAGTAGATTTTTCTGGTTCATTAGGAAAGCTAAATATGAGAGATACAGTGCCTTCAGAAAGTATTCACACCCATTGACTTTTTCTACATTTTGTTGTGTTACAGCCTGAATCTGAAATGGATTATTAAATTGAGATGTTTGGTCAATGGCCTATACACAATACCCCATAATGTCAGTGGAATTAAGTTCATCCAAATTAATTAAAAATGAAAAGCTGAAATGTCTCGAGTCAATAAGTATTCAACCCCTTCATTATAGCAAGCCTAAATAAATTCAGAAGTAAACATTGGCTTAACAAGTCACATAATAAGTTGCATGGACTCACTGTGTGCAATAATGATGTTTAACATGATTTTTGAATGACTACCTCATCTCTGTACCCAACACATACAATTATCTGTTAGGTCCCTCAGTCGAGCATTGAATTTCCAACACAGATTCAACCACAAAGACCAGGGAGACTCAGTTGCCGGAGAGGAAGGAAACCGCTCATGGATTTCACCATGAGGCCTATGGTGACTTTAAAACAGTTACAGAGTTTAATGTCTGTGATAGGAGAAAACTGAGGATGGATCAAAAACACTGTCGTTACTCCCCAATAATAACCTAATTGACAGAGTGAAAAGAAGGAAGCCTGTACAGAACAAAAATATTCCAAAACATGCATCCTGTTTGCAATAAGGCACGAAAGTAGGCTAAAATTGCAAAAACAAAATGGCAAAGAAACAAACTTTATGTCCTGAATACAACGTGTTATGTTTGGGGCAAATCCAACACAACACATCACTGAGTACCATTTCATATTTTCAAGCATGGTGGTGGCTGCATCATGTTATGGGTAAACTTGTGCTAAAAATAAACAGAATAGAGCTAAGGACAGGCAAAATCCTAGAGGAAAACCTGGTTCAGTCTGCTTTCCAACAGACACTGGGATACAAATTCACCTTTCAGCAGGACAATAACCTAAAACACAAGGCCAAATATACACTGCAGTTGCTTAACACGACAACATTTAATGTTCCTGAGTGGCCTAGTTACAGTTTTGACTTAAATCTACTTGAAAATCTATGGCAAGACAACTGGACAGAGTTTGAAGAATTTAAAAAAGAATAATGTGCACCTTTTGTACAATCCAGGTGTGCAAAGTTCTTATAGATTTACGCAGAAAGACTAACAGCTGTCTCGAAAAAAAAGTTATTTCATTATATTTAGGCGAGTAAACTGGCCAACTAATTGATCCTGCTTTGTGGTATACCCCTCTGGCACTAGTCTCAGATTGGCTGTCTACAACTATTCATTAATGTAGGCCTACCTACTAGCTAGCGCTAGCAGTGGGTTATTGTGCAATCTTGAAAGATTTCAATATCACTATGACTGTGGCAGCTAGCTAGCTAGCTAACTAGTTAGCTAAGTACCTATTTAGATTATGTTCGCTGCAACAACATATTCCACGGATTAGCCTTTCAATGGCCTATGAGGGTGGGACATGTAACAAATGGGCCTGTGGCCCGTCCCTTTGAATGTAGCTAGTTAGCAAAACCAGTTATACTAGCTAGTTACACTTAACCACCATAAACAAGGTAGCAAGCTAACTTATTACCCTAACTGTCCAGCTAAATGTTCAAGACATAATGAGTTCAAACGTTAGCTAAACTGGGCCCGAAGTCATAACAGTCACCGTTTCGTTTTCGATTGCTGGCTAGCTAACGCTAGCTAATATTATTGGGTTGTCATAAAAAAAACGTACCTCTTGATATCTAACGTTGCTGATTTGCTCGGCCATGTTGGATGGACGTTGAGAGTTTGAAAATGATCACTTGTTTGACAAACTGTGAGCCGAATATAATATTGATACTGTACGCTAACACTCGAAACTAGCACAGCTCCGCCATCTCCTCTTCCTCCCAAGTCTGGTGTGTCGTTCCTCCCTTCACACTGTCATGTGACCCAGTCGAACTGTCAGGATCATCAAAACACGATTTGGCGAATCATCAAAGCACGTACTGAGCTACAATGTAACGAATACTAAACTACAATGTAATTAATACTAAGCTACAATGTAATTAATACTAAGCTACAATGTAACAAATACTAAGCTACAATGTAATTAATACTAAGCTACAATGTAACAAATACTAAGCTACAATGTAACAAATACTAAGCTACAATGTAACAAATACTAAGCTACAATGTAACAAATACTAAGCTACAATGTAATAAATACTAAACTACAATGTTAGGAATACTAAACTACAATGTTAGGAATACTAAACTACGATGCAATTAATACTAAGCTACAATGTAACAAATACTAAACTACAATGTAACAAATACTGAGCTACAATGTAACAAATACTAAGCTACAATGTAACAAATACTAAACTACAATGTAACAAATACTGAGCTACAATGTAACAAATACTAAGCTACAATGTAACAAATACTAAGCTACAATGTAACAAATACTAAGCTACAATGTAACGAATACTGAGCTACAATGTAACTAATACTGAGCTACAATGTAACAAATACTGAGCTACAATGTAACAAATACTAAGCTACAATGTAACAAATACTAAGCTACAATGTAACAAATACTGAGCTACAATGTAACAAATACTAAGCTACAATGTAACAAATACTGAGCTACAATGTAACAAATACTAAGCTACAATGTAACAAATACTGAGCTACAATGTAACAAATACTAAGCTACAATGTAATAAATACTAAACTACAATGTTAGGAATACTAAACTACAATGTTAGGAATACTAAACTACAATGCAATTAATACTAAGCTACAATGTAACAAATACTAAACTACAATGTAACAAATACTGAGCTACAATGTAACAAATACTAAGCTACAATGTAACAAATACTAAACTACAATGTAACAAATACTGAGCTACAATGTAACAAATACTAAGCTACAATGTAACAAATACTAAGCTACAATGTAACAAATACTAAGCTACAATGTAACGAATACTGAGCTACAATGTAACTAATACTGAGCTACAATGTAACAAATACTGAGCTACAATGTAACAAATACTAAGCTACAATGTAACAAATACTAAGCTACAATGTAACAAATACTAAGCTACAATGTAACGAATACTGAGCTACAATGTAACAAATACTAAGCTACAATGTAACGAATACTGAGCTACAATGTAACTAATACTGAGCTACAATGTAACAAATACTATGCTACAATGTAACAAATACTAAGCTACAATGTAACAAATACTACATTTGACATTTGTAGTCATTTAGCAGACGCTCTTATCCAGAGCGACTTACAGTTAGTGAGTGCATAATTTTGTTTTGTTTCATACTGGCCCCCCGTGGGAACTACCCACAACCCTGGCGTTGCAAGTGCCATGCTCTACCAACTGAGCTACACGGGACTTAGTAACAAATACTAAGCTACTGTCACGACTTCCGCCGAGGCTGCCTCCCCTCCTTGTTCGGGCAGGTTGTTCGAGCGGGAGAAGGTATCCGTCCTCGTTTCCTGCCTTTGTGGGAGAGCCCTGGAGTGAGGACTACGGGGTGTTAGCTCGCCACTTTCGGGCCGTTTTCGATCACCCACCTGAGGGTCGAGAGGCGGGTGAACTACAGGTCCATCTGAGGCAGGGGACGAGGACCGCACAGGATTACACGCTGGAGTTCCGGACGCTGGCAGCGGGGTTTGGGTGGAACGAGCGAGCCCTGATCGACCATTTCCGGTGCCACCTAAGGGAAGACGTCCGACGGGAGCTAGCCTGCCGTGATGCCATGCTATCGTTCGGGACAATCCACCTCACGTCGCAGTCAACGTTATTTTGGGTCTGGAGGCGGTAGGCAGGGTACTCACGCATCACCCCAGGTAACGAACACCCAAACTTGTTCAGAGCCCTTTGCGGTGCACTGTACCTTATCTAACTCCTTTCCCAATCACCTGGTAGTTTCCCAGTGTAAGGCGCTAGTCGATTCAGGCGCAGCTGGGAACTTTATGGACAGGGCATTTGCACGGCGTCAAGGCATTTCATTGGTTCCCCTATCCATTCCACTCCCCATCAGAGCACTTGATAGTCGACCATTAGGGTCCGGGTTGGTTAAGGAGGTTACTGTACCAGCCACCATGATTACACAGGAGACGTATGTTGAGCAGATCACTTTTTTGATTATTGAGTCTCCTGCTTACCCTGTAGTCTTAGGTATTCCGTGGTTAGCCCTTCACAACCCCAATTTTTCATGGCCGCAGAGGGTTCTTACGGGGTGGTCGCGTGAGTGTCCGGGTAGGTGTCTAGGTGTTTCCGTTGGCGCGACCACGGTGGAAAGTCCAGACGGTAACCCCACCGTGCGCATTCCCCCCGAATACCAAGATCTGGCGCTCGCGTTTTCCAAGATGCAAGCGACTAAATTACCCCCTCATCGGGTGGGGGATTGCACGATAAACCTTCGGGTAGACGCTGTACCTCCCAGGAGTCATGTGTATCCCCTGTCGCAGGCTGAGACGGAGGCTATGGAAACATACGTCACCGAGTCCCTGCGCCAGGGGTATATACATTCCTCCACTTCACCTGCATCCTCGAGTTTCTTCTTTGTGAAGAAGAAAGATGGCGGTTTAGGCCCGTGCATTGATTATCGACCACTGAATAAGGTGACGGTACGATTTAGTTATCCTCTTCCCCTCCTTCCTTCAGTGATTGAGTCAATGCCTGGGGCCCCATTTTCACAAAATTAGACCTCAGGAGTGCCTACAACCTGGTGCGTATTCGGGAAGGGGATGAGTGGAAAACAGCATTCAGCACAACATCAGGGCATTATGAATACCTGGTGATGCCCTACGGTTTGATGAATGCTACATCTGTTTTCCAGTCCTTTGTGAACGAGGTGTTTCGGGACATGCTTGGTCGCGGTGTGGTGGTCTACATCGATAACATCCTAGTGTATTCCTCTACGTGCGCCGAGCATGTGTCCCTGGTTCGCAAGGTTCTGGTCCGACTGCTGGAGAATGATCTTTATGCCAAGGCAGAGAAGTGTGAGTTTTTCCAGCAGTCAATCTCCTTCCTCGGATACCGCATTACTACCACAGGTGTGGAGATGGAGGGAGATCGCATTTCAGCCGTGCGTAATTGGCCAACTCCAACCACGGTGAAGGAGGTGCAGCACTTCCTTAGCTTTGCCAACTACTATCAGAGGTTTATTCTGGGCTTTGGCAAGGTCACAGCTCCCATTACCTCCTTGTTGAAGGGTGGGCCGTACCGGCTCCACTGGTCTGCTGAGGCTGATTTGGCCTTCAGTAGATTGCGGGGTCTGTTCACCTCCGCCCCGGTACTGGCTCACCCCGATCCATCACTACTGTTCGTAGTGGAGGTGGATGCGTCCGAGGTAGGGATAGGCGCTGTCTTATCCCAACGCTCGGGCACGCCACCCAAGCTCCGCCCCTGTGCCTTCCTTTTGAAGAAGCTCAGCTCTGCGGAGCAGAACTATGGCGTTGGTGATCGGGAGCTGCTGGCTGTTGTCCGAGCTTTGACGGTGTGGAGGCATTGGCTCGAAGGGGCGAAACACCCTTTCCTCGTCTGGACAGACCACCGTAACCTGGAGTACATTCGGGCAGCGAGGAGGCTGAATCCTCGCCAGGCCAGGAGGGCCCTCTTCTTCACCCGGTTTGATTTCACACTCTCATACATTCCGGGTACGAAGAATGTGAAGGCAGACGCACTGTGTCGGCTGTATGACACAGAGGAGAGGCCCAGAGACAATACCCCCATACTCCCAGCCTCATGCATTGTGGCGCCGGTAGTATGGGCGATGGACGCGGATATAGCGCAGTCATTACACACAGATCCATCTCCACCGCAGTGTCCAGCTGGGCTACAGTACGTGCCTGCGCTTATCCATGATCGTCTGATCTACTGGGTACACACGTCACCCTCCTCTGGTCATCCAGGTATCGGTCATACAATGCGCTGCCTGACCGAGAAGTACTGGTGGCCTACCTTGGCTAAGGACGTGAGGGTGTACGTCTCCTCCTGCTCAGTGTGCACCCAGAGTAAGGCACCTAGGCACCTCCCAGCGGGTAAGCTACAACCTTTACCAGTTCCACAACGACCATGGTCTCACCTTAGTATTGATTTTCTTACTGATCTTCCCCTCTCCCAAGGTAACACCACTATCCTGGTCGTTGTGGATCACGTCTTCCGGCACTACAGGATACCAGAGGATATAGTGTCCGACCGAGGTCCCCAGTTCACGTCTAGAGTCTGGAAGGCGTTCATGGAACGTCTGGAGAGTAATGGGCAGGTGGAAAGGGTGAATCAAGATGTGGGTAGGTTCCTGCGGACCTACTGTCAGGACCGGCCGGGGGAGTGGTCGGGGTTCCTGCCATGGGCAGAATACGCTCAGAACTCTCTCCGCCGTACTGTCACGACTTCCGCCGAGGCTGCCTCCCCTCCTTGTTCGGGCAGGTTTCGGCGTTCGTCGTCACCGGCTTACTGGCTACTGCCGATCCCATTCTCATCACTCCACTTGTCATGTCTTGTCTTGTCAATCACACACACCTGGTGCTCATTCCCCTAATTAGTATGTGTATAAGTGTTCCCTCTGTTCCCCTTGTCTTTGTGAGTGATTGTTTCATTGTGAGAGCCAGGAGCTCGGTTCAGCTACTCTTCCATTTGTTATTGCCAAGGTGGAATATTTCCCTTGTGATAGTTTCGTTTTGACGCTTGGTGCGTTTTATTTATGTAAACGGAATAAACTCTGGACTTCTGTGTTTTACCTCCTGCGCCTGACTCCTTCATTCACACCTCATCACAACTACAATGTAACAAATACTAAGCTACAATGTAACGAATACTGAGCTACAATGTAACAAATACTAAGCTACAATGTAACAAATACTAAGCTACAATGTAACGAATACTAAGCTACAATGTAACAAATATATAAAAAATACAGATTCATTCTCAGTCATTTTATTAGAATAACTCTCATTGAAATACATTCATAGTCAAGTTTGTATAAAATCGTACAATGTAGCTTAGAAACCTGAATTGTCAGTGATGTCACATCACAGTGGCATATGTTCTATCTAAGATAAATGTATTACATAATCAATGTACTCAATGTAGCATACTACAAGTAGGCTTACTATTATGTTACATAAAATATAACTTGACGTAAACCACAGTACAACACACACAATTGATCTTCCACCCTTTGGCCGCTGTCATATCCAGGAGTGTGCGGCATCAGTTCTCTTGGTTATTGCAGGTTTCCAGATATTTTTTGCAACTCCCTCGTCTTACTTGGAAGGCTGTGGATCCACCAACTTGTTGTGCACATGCATCATCCCTGTAGGAGAAATAACAATAGGTCAAGTGAGTTAGATTTACATTTTATTCACAATTATGTTTTTATTGAAGAAAATAATTTATCCCTCCCAGGCCAATAATAAAACAAAATACACTGAATTTGTAAACTGATGAAGCACTAGTTCATAAGCCATGCGAGCAGCAAGTTACTAAAGGACCAAGTCCTTTAGTAAGTAAGTAAGTAGACCCTCACCTTGGAAGTACTTGACAGTTTTAACCCTCAGTTCCAGGGTAGCGTCCTCGTCACACACAAACACAGTCTGGGGGTGCTGCTGAAAGGCCGAAACCGTCCACATGTGGTTCACCCCTTCCTCTATGGCCTTGTACAGGGCAAACGCTTTGTGTGTTCCCGTGATGAGAATCATGACCTGGAGACGTTCAGGAGATAACGTGTTATTATCATCCTATAAACTGTTATTACATGGTTATAGACTGGTATTACAGTGTTACAACAAAGCAGCAGTAAAATGATTTGGGGGACATCATAAGGCCTCATTATATCATCATTTAATAAGTATAGGAGCTGTAAGGGGACCAGTCGTCCATGCAAAATACGTTAGAAGAGAAGACAGACCAGAAACATAAGGGCAGAGGCAGACATTTTGAAATCAGCTCTAACCTCTCTGGCGTCCATGACAGTGGCCACTCCCACAGTCAGAGCCATGGTGGGTACTTTAGACAGATCTCCGTCAAAGAAGCGTGCGTTGGCCAGGATGGTGTCCTGAGCCAGGGTCTTCACTCTGGTCCTGGACAACAGGCTGGAGCCTGGCTCGTTGAAGGCAATGTGGCCATCCGGTCCAATACCTAACAGACAGGGTGGGTTACATTTGTTGGATTTTGGTATTTATTTTTCTGTCTGTTGTTTTCTGAACTGATTTGTGCTTGTGGTGTTTCTCATCTTCTTCAACTATGTCATTGAAAAAGTGTGTGCCACACAATACAAAACATTATATTTTCTGTTGTAACAATGACATATCTGTTAGAACAAGACTATAAACTAGAAATATACATCTAGCATGGGTGTGTCTGCCTGTTTGATTGAGCAGCTGCTATTGTGTCATTTATCCGCCCTACCTATCTCCAACAAAGAGGTCAATTGCCACAGCAGCTTTAGAATATAATAAGCTTTAGAATATAATAAGCTTTAGAATATAATAAGCTTTAGAATATAATAAGCTTTAGAATATAATACGTTTTAGAATATAATAAGCTTTAGAATATAATAAGCTTTAGAATATAATAAGCTTTAGAATATAATACGTTTTAGAATATAATAAGCTTTAGAATATAATAAGCTTTAGAATATAATACGTTTTAGAATATAATAAGCTTTAGAATATAATAAGCTTTAGAATATAATAAGCTTTAGAATATAATACGTTTTAGAATATAATAAGCTTTAGAATATAATAGAGTAAATAGAATCAATATACTCAATTCCATCCTATCATTATCCTCCCTACCTACCTCCAACAAAGAGGTCGATTCCTCCAGCAGCTTTGATCTTCTCCTCAAAGGAATCACACTCCTCTACAAGGTTGGCAGCGTTACCATCCAGAATATGGGTGTTCTCCGATTTTATGTCAATGTGCTTGAAGAGATTATTCCACATGAAGGAATGGTAGCTCTCTGGGTGATTCCTGGGAATACCTGCGTGATTTTAAAAGCAGGGATCACAGTTTTGTATGGCTTCTCGTGCTGTGAGAATGTTGATATGTTTGGTGTAGCAATAGAAGGTTAAATAGAGAGGTATTGTAAAGGTGAAGCGTACCCACATACTCGTCCATGTTGAACGTTTTGACATACTTGAAAGAGATCTCTCCTTCCTTATAAAACTCAATCAGCTTCTTATAGCATCCCAGAGGGGTACCTCCTGGGGTGTAAAATGGGGATTCATTATGGATAATATGCATTGCTTTTTCAACAAAATATCTGTGGTTTTACAAGTCAAATAAATCAATGTTGATGTCTTTATACAGACACATTTGACATGATTATTATGACTGCAACATTAACTATACAAATGAAAGTAGGGCCTGCCCTATAGAATCAACAGATTGCTTACCTGTGGGGAGTCCTAGAATGAAGAATCTGTCTGGTCCAGGGTTGAAGTTAATGATTTTATTCCTGATGTACTTGGCAGCCCACTCACCAACTTGGTCATAATCATTCAGGATGATCAGCTTCATGGTTCTGAGTTAAATGCAAACTTGGATGGTGAATACAGCTGTTATTGTATAAGAAGGAATAGCTCTTGAAGCAATATTTGTTCTCCACCTAAAGCAGACTTTAGACTCATAAAATGTGAGCACTTGCAGCCGGAAGACGTACTAAAGTATCCCTAAGTGAACTGAAGGGGGAAGTAGACCAAATCAAACTATACTAAAATGCATTGTCAGCGGTTTGACTGGAATGCAAATGTTGAAACCACTGTATTTGAAAACGTTATCGTTCAAATCCAAAAGACGCCGATGTTAACGTTTGCATTACCATCTTACTTTATGCAGAAAGTAAATGAAAAACAAACGCATTGACCAACTTACCGCATCTTCCCATTAAAATCCTACATTTTTTTGAGAGAAAGCGGGAACCTCTGTCATATGACTGAGGTCGGATGCAGCTGCAGGCACGAGCCGGAGCTGGGCGAGTTCTAGCGAACGCGTTGATTTCAGATTGGAACGCTGTATGTTGAATAGGATGAATAGGCCTTTTTGAAGGGTGTAATAGTTCATTTGCTTAGAATTAAAGTAGCGTATTATCCAGAATAACTGCAGTCCAGTTATTTGACAGATGAGAGACCCTTTTTCATTGCATTGGTGACGTTTAAGAAATTAGGGTAAAATACAAACGTCTCTAGATAGCCATACAGTCAAAATATAGCCCAAAGGCCAGCAGATGGAGATATTGAGTCGTTTCAGTCAAAACAGCCTGAGAACGAAACTGTGCATTCCTCTAAAATGTTGAAATAAGGGCTGCGTGAAGCGGTTTTCAATAACTTTATTAAAACCAAATTGTGACAATGACCCGGAACAGTTAGAGAGCACACAACAGAAATAAATACCATCATACAGCGCTCATCGTCAAACAACAGGCGTATTACAGTTGGTTCTTTCAATTTTATTTCAGCAAGAAAAAAGAATGGACATGCTATTGGCAGCAGAAATACACCATCATCATCATCATCATCATCAGGTACTGGGGTCAATGTGCCTAAATTACAGTATGCCGCCTGCATTGACATGTGGAGTGAATGTGTGCATCTGAAATGGCACCCTATTCCCTATATAGTACACTACTTTTGATCAGGGCCATATGGGTTCTGGCCAAAAGTAGTGCACTATATAGTTAATAGGGTGCCATTTCAGACTCAAGCAAAGAGTTGACACTTCACTAGTAGCGCTGGTACATCTGGGCTGCGTCTCAATCCAGCACCTTGCCTCCTTCCCTTGTTGCCTAGTTTGATTCCTTCCTTATCGCAACAGATATGACAAGATAGATAAGACATAAGCAATGTGCTACAGTACTGTACTTAATATATCCAGCATGCCTTTTGGTAGACCATGCAGGTAGAGTTTTGTTTTTTTGCCATAATGCTTTAGTTGAACTCATCTATCCAGTCCTATCAGATCTGAATGGGGAAGGCAACAAGGAAACATGGAAGGAGACACTACTCTCAGATGAAGACACAGACCCTGGTAGAGGAGACACTGGTTGCTGCCTGTCTGTCTGCTTAGTCAAGGTCCATGTCCGGTCTTGGTTCGGTGGATTCCGTGGAGGGGGGGTTGCCTGTGCTGTCAGCGGTCCCCTCCTCGGTGCCCTCTGCTGGGGCTTTCTCCTGGCCGTTGACTGGTCCATTCTGCTCCCCTGCCTTGTCGTCCTTAGGCAGCTCCACCTTGGGCTTGGGCTTGGTCACGATGGGGTTGCAGGCAGAGTACAGCTCCTATTGAGGGGGAAGAGTGAATGTTACAAATAACTGTGCAAGCATATCATGGGATCATGTGCAAGTAATGTTGAGTTGGATAAGCAGAATGCTGGCATGCATTATTACAGTAGTAGAATGATATTCATGACCAAAAGGCAATATTCACAGCAAAGCTTGGTTGCAAGCAATGTTCCCTCTAAACTAAGTCCCATGTAGCTCAGTTGGTAGAGCATGGCGCTTGCAACGCCAGGGTTACGGGTTCGTTTCCCACAGGGGGACAGTCTGAAAATGTATGCACTCACTAACTGTAAGTCGCTCTGGATAAGAGCGTCTGCTAAATGACTAAAATGTAAATGTAAACTGCGCTCTTGCGCACTTCCTCCAGGACTGCAGCGCAGAAGAAATGCCATGCAGCGCAGAGACGCAAAAGATTGAACTTCACTGAGATCGCCCATTAGTTTCCACTATATAGACATAGTTTTTCTGTGATCTAATCAACATTTTATAAGCCCCTTATCAATGCAACAAACCAAAACAAAATCTAACTTTGCAAGACTGAGTCTGTGATTTTGTTGTAGGCAGCGCCAGAGCGCAACGGAGTAGAATCCTATTGACTGGGGTAACGTTAGCCCTTTCAATCACCCGCGAGCTTTTCAGATCAGAGCGCAGAGCCGCGCGTGCGCACATTTGTTGATATTCTTCGCTAGTTAGCGAGTTATTAGCCCAGTCATATATAAGTATAGGTCAGCAATGGGGAGTTACTGCTTCCCACAAGAGCACATTTCAAGCTGTCTTTGAAAAGCCAGTCAGGTAAAAAGCTTATGTCTTAATTAAAGGGGCAGTGTAAATAAGCCAATAGGCAGAGGGGGTAGCCTATTCGCTACTGTATGCTATATCATAGAAATCAAAAGCTATGTCCATGTGTAAATGTTATGGGATTTTCTCCCATTGGTTTTGTTGGTAGGAATACATTATGCTCAAATAGCCACAAAAGCCTATTGGCAAGTGTCTAAAACTGTAAGGGTACAGCCTCAGTGTTCACTGTAAATGCACAAAATTCTCACAACATTCAAGTTCCCGCTCACAATACCTAAAATTTGCTCAGTGCCCCAAAAATGTTGAGGGAACATTGGTTGCAAGGTTGGGTAACACTTTACCAGAAGGGTCCCTACATAACGACTTCATAACACATGAATGTTGAATTCATAAGCAGTATCTCTCTGACCCTGACAGCAGACTAGCCGTTAGTACTGTAGTTATTCTAACCTTAGCTTTACCCTGTATCTCTCTGACCCTGACTAGCCGTTAGTCCTGTAGTTATTCTAACCTTAGCTTTACCCTGTATCTCTCTGACCCTGACAGCAGACTAACCGTTAGTACTGTAGTTATTCTAACCTTAGCTTTACCCTGTATCTCTCTGACCCTGACAGCAGACTAACCGTTAGTACTGTAGTTATTCTAACCTTAGCTTTACCCTGTATCTCTCTGACCCTGACAGCAGACTAGCCATTAGTCCTGTAGTTATTCTAACCTTAGCTTTACCCTGTATCTCTCTGACCCTGACAGCAGACTAACCGTTAGTACTGTAGTTATTCTAACCTTAGCTTTACCCTGTATCTCTCTGACCCTGACAGCAGACTAACCGTTAGTACTGTAGTTATTCTAACCTTAGCTTTACCCTGTATCTCTCTGACCCTGACAGCAGACTAGCCGTTAGTCCTGTAGTTATTCTAACCTTAGCTTTACCCTGTATCTCTCTGACCCTGACTAGCCGTTAGTCCTGTAGTTATTCTAACCTTAGCTTTACCCTGTATCTCTCTGACCCTGACAGCAGACTAGCCGTTAGTCCTGTAGTTATTCTAACCTTAGCTTTAACCTGTATCTCTCTGACCCTGACTAGCCGTTAGTCCTGTAGTTATTCTAACCTTAGCTTTAACCTGTATCTCTCTGACTAACAGTATTAGTAGTAGAGTAGTTAGTTAGCAGTAGAGTAGTTAGTGGTAGAGTAGTTAACAGTACTGTAGTCAGTAGTAGTTAGTTAACAGTACTGTAGTCAGTAGTAGTTAGTTAGCAGTACTGTAGTTAGTAGTAGAGTAGTTAGTGATAGTGTAGTTTGTTTGCAATACTGTAGTTAGTTAGCAGTAGAGTAGTTAGTTAGCAGTAGAGTAGTTATTTAGCAGTAGAGTAGTTAGCAGTAGAGCAGTTAGCTAGCAGTACTGTAGTTAGTAGTAGAGTAGTTAGTGATAGTGTAGTTCGTTTGCAATACTGTAGTTAGTTAGCAGTAGAGTAGTTAGTTAGCAGTAGAGTAGTTATTTAGCAGTAGAGTAGTTATTTAGCAGTAGAGTAGTTAGTGATAGTGTAGTTAGTTAGCAGTAGAGTAGTTAGTTAGCAGTAGAGTAGTTATTTAGCAGTAGAGTAGTTAGTGATAGTGTAGTTCGTTTGCAATACTGTAGTTAGTTAGCAGTAGAGTAGTTAGTTAGCAGTATCGTAGTTAGTTAGCAGTACTGTAGTTAGTTATCAGTACTGTAGTTAGTTATCAGTAGAGCAGTTAGTTAGCAGTACTGTAGTTAGTTAGCAGTACTGTAGTTAGTTAGCAGTAGAGTAGTTAGTTATCAGTAGAGTAGTTAGTTATCAGTAGAGTAGTTAGCAGTACTGTAGTTAGTAGTAGAGTAGTTAGTGATAGTGTAGTTCGTTTGCAATACTGTAGTTAGTTAGCAGTAGAGTAGTTAGTTAGCAGTAGAGTAGTTAGCAGTAGAGTAGTTAGTTAGCAGTAGAGTAGTTAGTTATCAGTAGAGCAGTTAGTTAGCAGTACTGTAGTTAGTTATCAGTAGAGCAGTTAGTTAGCAGTACTGTAGTTAGTTATCAGTAGAGCAGTTAGTTAGCAGTACTGTAGTTAGTTATCAGTAGAGCAGTTAGTTAGCAGTACTGTAGTTAGTAGTAGAGTAGTTAGTTAGCAGTACTGTAGTTAGTAGTAGAGTAGTTAGTTAGCAGTACTGTAGTTAGTAGTAGAGTAGTTAGTTAGCAGTACTGTAGTTAGTAGTAGAGTAGTTAGCAGTACTGTAGTTAGTAGTGGAGTAGTTAGTTAGCAGTACTGTAGTTAGTAGTAGAGTAGTTAGTTAGCAGTACTGTAGTTAGTAGTAGAGTAGTTAGTTAGCAGTACTGTAGTTAGTAGTGGAGTAGTTAGCAGTACTGTAGTTAGTAGTAGAGTAGATAGTCTCACCTTAGTCTTGTCCTGTATCTCTCGGACTCTAACCGCAGGCTCCACAGTCAAGCTCAGTTTACTCTGTTGGTTCATCTTGCTGTTCAGCCAGATCATGGCTTCATTCACCATCTTATCCACCTTGTTGATGTCTTCCTGGTCCAGATGGTCATACTGCTCCTCCTGGGGGATGGAAAGACAACCAAACAAACCGTCTAACATACAGTACCAGTCAAATGTTTGGATACACCTACTCATTCCAGGGTTTTTCTTAATTTTTTAAATATTTTCTACATTGTGGAATAATAGTGAAGACATCTAAACTATGAAATAACACATATGGAATCATGTAGTAACCAAAAAAAAAGTGTTAAACAAATCAAAATATATATTTTATATTTGAGATTCTTCAAATAGCCACCCTTTGCCTTGATGATAGATTTGCACACTCTTGGCATTCTCTCAACCAGCTTCACGAGGTAGTCACCTGGAATGCATTTCAATTAACAGGTGTGCCTTCTTAAAAGTTTATTTGTGGAATTTCTTTCCTTCTTAATACGTTTGAGCCAATCAGTTGTGTTGTGACAAGGTAGGGGGGGTTTACAGAAGATACAGAAGATTTGGTAAAAGACCAAGTCCATATTATGGCAAGAACAGCTCAAATAAGCAAAGAGCACAGTCCATCATTACTTTAAGACATGAAGGTCAGTCAATCCAGAAAATTTCAAGAACCTCGAAAGTTTCTTCAAGTGCAGTCGCAAAAACCATCAAGCGCTATGAAACTGGCTCTCATGAGGACCGCCACAGGAATGGAAGACCCAGAGTTACCTCTGCTGCAGAGGATAAGTTCATTAGAGTTACCAGCCTCAGAAATTGCAGCCCAAATAAATGCTTCACAGGGTTCAAAGAAAACCACTACTAACGGACACCAATAATAAGAAGAAACTTGCTTGGGCCAAGAAACACGAGCAATGGACATTAGACCGGTGGAAATCTGTCCTTTGTTCTGATGAGTCCAAATTTGAGAACACATTTTTTTTTTCAACAGGACAATGACCCAACACACCTCCAGGCTGTCTAAGGGCTATTTGTCCAAGAAGGAGAGTGATGGAGTGCTGCATTAGATGACCTGGCCTCCACAATCACCTGATCTCAACCCAATTGCGATGGTTTGGGATGAGTTATTCTCCTGAGTGGCGCAGTGGTCTAAGGCACTGCATCGCAGTGCTAACTGTGTCACTAGAGATCCTGGTTCGAATCCAGGCTCTGTCGCAGCCGGCCGCGACCGGGAGACTCATGGGCGGCGCACAATTGGCCCAGCGTCGTCCAGGGTAGGGAAGGGAATGGCCGGCAGGGATGTGGCTCAGTTGATAGAGCATGGCGTTTGCAACGCCAGGGTTGTGGGTTCGACGCCAGGGTTGTGGGTTCGATTCCCACGGGGGGCCAGTATAAAAAAATATGTATTCACTAACTGTAAGTCGCTCTGGATAAGAGCGTCTGCTAAATGACTAAAATGTAAAAATGTAAATGTAAGTTGGACTGCAGAATGAAGGAAAAGCAGCCAACAATGTGCATATGCATATTGTTGGCATATGTGGGAACTCATTCAAGACTGTTAGAAAAGCATTCCAGGTGAAGCTGGTTGAGATAACAGAACTATTCTAGTGTATTCTCATTGTCTTATGTCAGATAGTGTGTCGATTCCGTCTGCACTGCGGGACGAGAGTTCTGACGTAAGGCAATGGTGTATTCTAGCATTAGCGACTGTACTATACTACATTTCTATTACTAGAAGTATTTCTAAGATTTCTCAGTCATACCTGCTCCTCCTGGGGTACGCAAAGAATAAAGATGTAGTCCATTGTAGCAAAGTGTGTAATAATAATAATAATAATAATAAATGTATATTACATCCATTTAGTAGCATAATACAATACACATTGTCATTCCTGAAATGCAAACATTGTCAACTTCTGTTTGTTTAATTGAATGATGTTTGTAGTTCTGTGGAGCCTACTGAGCATTATGATCCAAATGAATCTGATTATTTCTAGACCTCTGGAACCTTGGTTTTATAAGGGCAGTGGAACCTTGGTTTTATAAGGGCAGTGGTACCTTGGTTTTATAAGCTTCAACGATCTTCATGTACATCTGGATCTGTTTTCCCATCTCATCGAAGGCTCTAGGTCTTTCTTCAGACTCCATGTACCTCTCCTGGATAGGCTGGCCCAGTTTCTGGAGACATCAGACAACACTTATGCCAGACACATTGGCTAATCCAACCCATTTCAACTGTGTTGAACTAGACTGAGGAGGAAGCTAGGCATTTTCAGATAGAGCGTCAGTGACACAGCAATGAAACTCATTTTTCAAACTTTGGTGACGCTACTTTCATCTGACTTTGTCGAAATGTAACACAAATTTGCAGAACACACAATTGAGTTGACAGGACTTTAACTCATAATGACAATTTAAAAACAACAACAAAGTAGGCATTGGTCTGAAACCCATGCTCTGCCAAGGTTTTCCAGCATACAACTTTGACCTACTACAGTAGCTATATTGGTCTATTGCACTTCAAACAATGTGTATGCAGGTTGCTTAGCATTCAAACCTTCTCAAACAGACTTGGTAACTTTAGCTAGCTAGCTAGCTACCTAGCTAATCAAAATATCTGTTTAACCTCAGCTTGAATACCACCAGTTATCTACAGTAGCCTTGTTTTGTTCTCAGACACTTCTTATGGACTGGCAGCCTGTTGCAGGCCGCAGCAGCTGTGTTGTTGCCGAACAACAGGAGTTGCTCGACCCAGTTAAATAGAACTCTTGAGATTGGCCTTAAAATATGTAGCATTGTCAGAAATGCTACAAAAAGGTATGACATCGTTGTTAACGGAGGGAAACGAGCGATGAATTATATAAATGGAATAAAAACCGTTGCACCAACAAACTCAGTTAATCCGAATTATTTTACATCAAAACGGTCACTTTATGGACGCTATAGTCTCGCTTTAATCTAACGTCTAGAATTTGAGCTAGGTAGGCGCAGAAAATACTTTAAAAACTGAATTGCTAACGACCCTGTTAAAAATCCGGTATGTGGTTCTCGGGAACGGCCGGACGGCTCATGGCGAGGAGTGTGTTGTGAACCTTCAATCAAGTTGATTTGTACATTTTCATCGACATTGGTGTCACATTGGCTTAGATATGATGGTAGGGAGATGAGCTTCAACCAATCAAATCTATTTATAAAGCCTTTTTTTTACATCAGCAGATGTCACAAAGTGCTTATACAGAGAGAGACAGAGACACAGAGAGACACAGACAGACAGACAGACAGACAGACAGACAGACAGACAGAAAGAAAACAGCAATGCATACCGGCGTGACTATAATGACAAAGGAAAGCATTACCTCAGACTAGGCTTAATCAGGGTCTGGGAAACTGGCCCATAGTGACAGTGCTTTACCTTCAGCTCGACCAGTTTGTCGATGTATTGTTGTTTAGGCTGGTCCTCTCCATCTTCATACAGCCAGTTCTCTGTGTCCTCCAGTTGTAACGACAGGATGTCCCGATCCTAACACAGTCAAAACACAGGCATTAACATACAGCCAGTTCTCTGTGTCCTCCAGTTGTAACGACAGGATGTCCCGATCCTAACACAGTCAAAACACAGGCATTAACATACAGCCAGTTCTCTGTGTCCTCCAGTTGTAACGACAGGATGTCCCGATCCTACACAGTCAAAACACAGGCATTAACATACAGCCAGTTCTCTGTGTCCTCCAGTTGTAACGACAGGATGTCCCGATCCTAACACAGTCAAAACACAGGCATTAACATACAGCCAGTTCTCTGTGTCCTCCAGTTGTAACGACAGGATGTCCCGATCCTACACAGTCAAAACACAGGCATTAACATACAGCCAGTTCTCTGTGTCCTCCAGTTGTAACGACAGGATGTCCCGATCCTAACACAGTCAAAACACAGGCATTAACATACAGCCAGTTCTCTGTGTCCTCCAGTTGTAACGACAGGATGTCCCGATCCTACACAGTCAAAACACAGGCATTAACATACAGCCAGTTCTCTGTGTCCTCCAGTTGTAACGACAGGATGTCCCGATCCTACACAGTCAAAACACAGGCATTAACATACAGCCAGTTCTCTGTGTCCTCCAGTTGTAACGACAGGATGTCCCGATCCTACACAGTCAAAACACAGGCATTAACATACAGCCAGTTCTCTGTGTCCTCCAGTTGTAACGACAGGATGTCCCGATCCTAACACAGTCAAAACACAGGCATTAACATACAGCCAGTTCTCTGTGTCCTCCAGTTGTAACGACAGGATGTCCCGATCCTACACAGTCAAAACACAGGCATTAACATACAGCCAGTTCTCTGTGTCCTCCAGTTGTAACGACAGGATGTCCCGATCCTACACAGTCAAAACACAGGCATTAACATACAGCCAGTTCTCTGTGTCCTCCAGTTGTAACGACAGGATGTCCCGATCCTAACACAGTCAAAACACAGGCATTAACATACAGCCAGTTCTCTGTGTCCTCCAGTTGTAACGACAGGATGTCCCGATCCTACACAGTCAAAACACAGGCATTAACATACAGCCAGTTCTCTGTGTCCTCCAGTTGTAACGACAGGATGTCCCGATCCTACACAGTCAAAACACAGGCATTAACATACAGCCAGTTCTCTGTGTCCTCCAGTTGTAACGACAGGATGTCCCGATCCTACACAGTCAAAACACAGGCATTAACATACAGCCAGTTCTCTGTGTCCTCCAGTTGTAACGACAGGATGTCCCGATCCTACACAGTCAAAACACAGGCATTAACATACAGCCAGTTCTCTGTGTCCTCCAGTTGTAACGACAGGATGTCCCGATCCTACACAGTCAAAACACAGGCATTAACATACAGCCAGTTCTCTGTGTCCTCCAGTTGTAACGACAGGATGTCCCGATCCTACACATTCAAAACACAGGCATTAACATACAGCCAGTTCTCTGTGTCCTCCAGTTGTAACGACAGGATGTCCCGATCCTACACAGTCAAAACACAGGCATTAACATACAGCCAGTTCTCTGTGTCCTCCAGTTGTAACGACAGGATGTCCCGATCCTACACAGTCAAAACACAGGCATTAACATACAGCCAGTTCTCTGTGTCCTCCAGTTGTAACGACAGGATGTCCCGATCCTACACAGTCAAAACACAGGCATTAACATACAGCCAGTTCTCTGTGTCCTCCAGTTGTAACGACAGGATGTCCCGATCCTAACACAGTCAAAACACAGGCATTAACATACAGCCAGTTCTCTGTGTCCTCCAGTTGTAACGACAGGATGTCCCGATCCTAACACAGTCAAAACACAGGCATTAACATACAGCCAGTTCTCTGTGTCCTCCAGTTGTAACGACAGGATGTCCCGATCCTACACAGTCAAAACACAGGCATTAACATACAGTCCTACAACAATCAAAGTCAACACACTGTCATTAACATGTTACAGAGAATACAATTCTGATATACAGTATTATAAAATCCTTTATATATTGTTGTTAATGGGATACTTCAGGATTTTGGCAATGAGCCGTTTATCTACTTCCATGAGTTCATCTGACAATGAGGAAGTAGTTACAGGGAGGGCTTCATTGTCGAAATCCCAAAGTATCCCTTTAAGAAACATGTTTGTGTTTCATGGGCAGCTAATTTCAGACAAGCGTTGGAAGTACCACAGAAAGCCACAGAAAAAGCCACAGTACTCACAGCTTCACTGACAAATTTCTCCAGCCTGCCGTGCAGTTTGTCCCTCATGTCGTACACATACTCCTCCACGTAATTCTTAGCGTCGTTCCTCTCCTTCTCCAGCTTGTCCTGCATGATCATCTTACCCTGTGCAAACAAACAAATCAATAAACCACAGAACACTCTTCAAGCACTACTCAAAACAGAGAGAGAAACATGTAAAAGACAAGTGTATAGAACCAGCCGGATGAATACAATACAGAACGACAGAATAGACAGACAGAGAAATATAGATACCAAAGACACAGAGAGGATAGCAGTAAGGAGACATAAAACAATCCATAGATGTCAGATTTTTTAATTACCTCATTTTCTACAAAGAGGTTGAGCATGTCGATGGCCAGCTCCCACTGGGGGCTGTTCTCGATGGGAAGCTCCAGGACTTTTGTCTTGACTTTGGGCTTCTTGGCCTGGGGAGGCTGGTCAGACTTCTTCTTCTCTGTGGAGGTCTGGGGGGGGGGGAGATGAGAGGGAAACGGCATCATTAAGACTAAATATCCATAAAGTAGTGCTCTTCACTCCTGGTGAACGTTTTCCAGCCTGCTCCTAGATGGGTTTGTTCTGTCTGGTCAGCTGGTCATTGGCAAGACAACACAAACTGATCTGGGACCAGGCTATTTGCTTTTGTCTAAGTCTATACAAACTGCCGTCCTCCAGGACAGAAAGTGCAGAACGCTACCATAAACGTCATGATCATAGCTGTCAAATGTGTCACAACATAGACGGAATATTCACTGTTACCTCCATCTCCTCATTCTCTGACGTCTTCTTCTCCTCTTCTGCCTCGTTCTGTCCATCTCCTTGGGCCTTCGTCTCATCCTGGTCAGTCTGCATTTTGCCCTGCAGAGAGGGCAGGGCACTTCATTAACACCACATCTCTGGCCAATGATAGGACAGACAGACATCCAGATAGCAGTGTCATCACAATATAGTACTGTACCTAACTGAAGCCCCTCGTCCTCAGGTTGTATGGTTTAATAGCATATTTGTAGGCCTATCTTTCAATGGACTTTCAAGTCAACTGTAATTGTCTGTGTAGTGAATCCTGACAAAGACACTTAGGTAAAACAAATCCTACATTCAAATTGAATGAATATTATTATTAACAATCACCTCTTCCTCCTTCTCTGGTGTTGCCTGCTGTTCTGTGTCCATGGGCTCCTCTCCCTCCTCTGTCTTCTGGACCTCCACCAGAGAGGCTGAGGAGACGCTGAAGATGCCGTGGATGTTGACCCTCACCTTCACCTTGACCTTAGAGCTCTCCCCAGACGCCTGGGGTACCACCTTCTGGATCACAAACTGACCTGGAGGAGAGGACACAGGAAATAAGGTGGTAATGGCACACAGATGATACATTTCACAGGAAATACTGATGACACACTGGGATATACTTTATAGGGGGAAACTTGCATTACAGACACTTGACAAAAACGGTTATACATTTGTTTTAATACAACAACAACAAAAAATCAATGGGCAAGTCAATGAGAAGTTTCATATTGCAAACTGTAGTCCACAGGCCTTTTCGAAAAGATAATGCTGCTAGGATGCATGGACTGACTACGTTTCTATAGAAGACACTGTTTGCAGAGAGAGAACAGGACCCACAGGTGCGTGGTTCATAGTGGATTCAATGCAGTGTACATACCTATGGTGGGGTCGGGGTACGGCAGCTCTTTGGGGGTGTTGTAGTAGGCTTCCAGAGAGAAAGGTTCCCTCCGGTAGAAAGTCAACACTTTGGAGAACGGTGCAGCATGGTTCTTTGGGAATACCTCGCAGTCGCTACAATGGACAACACGCATAAACAGTCTAGTTTATTAGCAGTAAAATAACTACAATGAAGCCATCCCACAAAAATCTATCAAATCAATCGTGATTATAAACCAAAGATATGTATTGTAGTTTACCTCAAGCCTTCCTCTGCAGCAGAGTTCCATTTCAGAGAGATGGGGTAAGCAACTGCATCTGTGATGGAGAACTCACGCACTTTGAATGCAGGGGACAGGATTGCACACTGAGGAGGCAGACAGGGGATATTCTTAGCAGGGAGGCAAACCATTATTCCATCACCATATCCCAGTAGAAATCAACAATGAATTAGGTCCTACTGGTAAGAATTATATCTATAAACGTTGGAATCATGATCATTACTACTCCAAAATTGACATGTAATAGTAAATAAGCGTTTGGAGGCTAACTTTTGTATTCTTATCTACATTTGCTGTGCAAGCAAATCCTGGATGTCCAAAGGGTATTTTAAGGTCAGGAGGGGGGGAAACAGAGCAAGACCATCAGACCTGCAGGGCACATCCTCTGGCCACAGCCTCATCAGCATTCAGGGTGGTGCTCAGCTCCTTCCCAAAGAATTTGCTGATCCTCTCTTTGACAGACGGGATACGGGAGGCCCCTCCCACTATTTCCACCGCATAGATGTCCTCCTTCTTAAGCTCTGATTGGACAGGAACCAGGAAGAAAGGCACCAATCAGAACTGACAGTCACTGACATAACTCAATGCTATAAAGACAACACTCAATGCTCAATGTTATACACAAAGATAAATTCTGTACTGAGATTCAAGCAAGTTATATGCAAACCTACGATACTCACTGGCTTGCTCCATCAGGTTGTGCAGCGGTGCCTCCACTCTGGCCAGAACGTCAGCACACATCTCCTCAAACTGACCCCTAGAAATTTTTTAGAAAATACAGATGCAGAATCATAATTTGATCACCCTGTTGTTGCAGGGAACGTATTTGTAGTGTATTCAAGGCAAAAAATAATAACTAATATCTAGTACTGTAGATCATGTAAGACTCTTAACTGTTGAACACATTAAGGACCACATCAAGAAGGTGCTCAATTGCGATAACAACAATCTCATAGACTACAAAACACTATACCTGTTGAGTTTCCCGGAGACGTCAATGTCGTTCATAAAGCACTCGATGTTGAGGGGCAGGTCTGAGGAGTTGGCGCTCATCAGCTTCTTGAGTTTCTCACACTCCTGGAAGAGCCTGACCAGAGCCCTGGGCTTGGTCTTCACGTCCAGCTTGTACTTCTTCCCAAACTCCTCACAGAAGTGTCTCACCAGCATCTCGTCAAAGTCCTTCCCGCCCAGCTCCGGGTCGCAGGCCGTCGCAAGGATCTGAGGGGGGGGGAGAAATGGTATTACAAAATATGAAAAACGAATTATGAGGGCTGGGAGTTTTTCCTGAGCCCATGTGACCTGACCAGAACAACTCTGGGCCCTAGAGCACTTGTTTTGTTTAATAGCCAAGAGGTTATTGAAGTTGTCTGTAACTCCTTCGTGGACATTTCAGTAAAAAATGTAATTTCGTAGAATCAGCATGACCCACATAGCCTCCTGATAAAAGACACCCACCTTCAGCTTGCCTTTGTTGAAGGCACAGACAGAGGTCTGGTATCCAGAGTGTCCAATGTCTACAAACACCACAATCCTGGGCTTCTCCTCTGGTGCAGGGAGGTCCTGCTTGTAGATCCCATACGCCAACGCCACTGGAAGGAAGATATGTATAATCATTATTAATTATGAAACAGCAAATCGCCTTAATATCAAATAAGATGTGGTTGAGTTAAATAGTTACAGTAACTCTGTTAGGGGTCAACACAGCTCTCCCCATACCTGCAGTTGTCTCATTCATGAGCCTCAGACAGTTGAGTCCAGCGATCTGTGCTGCGTCCACCACTGATCTCCTCTCTGCGTCCGTGTAGTAGCAGGGGACCTGGGGAGGATGACATAGGCTGTGATTAGCCAGCAGGCCTAAAAACTGAACCAATTTGTTTTTCATATCTGGTCTTTAGTGTAACTTTCCAAACTCCGTTTTACATATGACCAAATTCCTGGTCTTTATAGTAAAGCGTAGCGCCCAGTGCACACTAGCACACTGCAGATTGATACTCACAGAGACAACGCAATCAGCCACGGGTTTCTTCAGTGCATGCTCAGCTGTCTCCTTCATCTTGGTCAGAAGCATGGCAGTGACCTGCTCAATGCTGAACACCTTCTCCTCCTCCATGTACATCACCTAAAGGACACACAGACACCAGTTGTCATTGTAAAGTATTGCTTGATTGATTGATTTTAGGGTTCACACAGGTAGAGTACAATACAGAATAACACATTAAAGTATTATACGGCAAAGACAGACAGATACACAACCAATATCTATGTTGATTACAGATTAGACAAGGATGATGAGTAATCTATCTGGCACTCAAAGGGACCCATCTCTCCATTAGGCCAATTAATATATTCCCCACCCTTTTAACCAGATCTAATCTTCATGGTTTTCTCTCCTTACCTTGATGCCAGTGGTGCCCGAAGGCATCTGTGCCAGGTCGTAAACCAGGCTGGATTTCAAACTCTGGATGTACGGATCATAGAACGCCCGGCCATGAAATCTCTTGAACCCTTGGACTGTGTTCTTGCAGTTTGTGACGACCTGATTTGGGATTAACGGGGAAAGAACATGATGCATTATGCAAAATAAATAATTATCTCACATTAAAAAGTACTTTAATGATTTGCTACCTAATGGGGAAGGAGCCATTATTAATTATGGAACAGTTGATCAAATACTTTAGATATAAAAAGAATGGCAAACTTGACCCCATGGATTTATTTAGGGTCCTTTGAGGGCATGAATGCATAATGATTTTCTCTTCTGTTTTTAATAGTTCCATCGGGTAATTAAATATTGGCCTGGATATGAAATCCCTATTTCTATGCATAAGCAGAAAACCATAGAACTTGCTAAAAGATTCACACTCAATGTGTCACTAGTCAAATAAATTATCAAGTAGAGGTCGCCCTCTATCAAAACATACCTGGCTTTTAGCAGCTGCACCAATAGATCGATTCCGCGGTCCAAATGACACGCATGCTCTGAAAGAATGACAGCGGAATAAACATCAGTAAAATGCTTGTCTGTTTTCACGGGTCTCTCCATAATAAGATAACAGCGCTAGCTAGTATAACACAGTAGCATTAAATTGACAATCTAAATGTGTTTTATTAGCTGGCTAGTAATACAAATCAGAATACACATGATTCCTATGAACAAGTCCACTGATGTCAAGAAATTGCAGGCCTCCTCCCAGTCGCATTCATGCGCCCATTCATACTTTATTGAAAAATTAACCCCTTGAAAGGGGGGGACAACAATTAACCCCCATTGTCTTCGAAAACACTCAAGATGTTACGTGAGGAATGTAAGTTAAGGTTTCAAAAGTCAAATGACGTAACGTTTAATTGGTAAAATAGCTAACAGAGTACAACGATTGCTCGTTTTTACAAGTCATGGGTTGATCGGTCTAGCTAGCAATAACATTCACGTGTTGTGTTGCAACGCTTGACGTTAACTAGCGAGTTGCTCGGCTAGGCTAATGTTAGCCCGCTAGCTTGTTAGCGCACCTCCCTTGTCTGTCGCGCTGTCAAGGCCACAAAATGTGTTCCCATCCCTCTATTTTCTCAATCACTTTAGAGGCAAACTGGTTGAAAATTACAATTCACACCAAATAGGATAAGCCACACCAAATATAAATGTCACTTACGGTGTACACCGATCGCTGTATTCATTGGCTACAGTTTCTATTCCTCCGGCTCGAGCTACCGCTACATAGCAGTTCAGGAAACCGACGTCGAATCCTACCACAGACATCTTCGCGAAATGTTACTCAATAAAACAGATAATACTAGGGAAAAAGCACAATATAGGCTAACAGTTAACTCCTAAATATAACAGACAAGACCGCAAACTGAATGTATCAATATACGTTCTGGTTTAATTCATTATCCCTCCCTAGTTCCATGAAGCTGCAACTGCGTGCGCTACTAGCCGGCAAATCGTTGATGCCTCCGAACAAGCCGACTTCAACATGGAGGTCAGGATAACAGTCCCATTGGGCAGGACCGCAAAGGTCTCGGAAACCACAACCCATAGGCGGACCATTTCAACATTGTGAGAGGCAACGCGGATGTGTAGAGAGACTAGCACAGGAAAGGTATGTTCATGCTATCTGGGTTCATTCTATTGACCGTTCTGGATTAAATGTGACAAATTATTCCAAAAATACAAAATGTATTGAATTAGATACTTTTTTTTTTTTACATTAAATGTTATGGTTAATAACTCATGAAATACTCAATGTTCATCCTCTGGTGAGTTAGAAAGAAAATGGTTATCTTAATGTCTAGAACTACAATGGCATTAAACTTTTGTTTCTTGCTTGATATTAATGCTCTTGTATTCTACTTTTTATTATGTAGATGTGACCTGATATTGCCCACACCACTGCTTGTGACAACATACTTCAGTATTTTATATAGACCTGTTAGCCGGTGTAAATTTGTGTTGAGCAGTAACCTCATTGCTGTGTAATATTGTTTTGTAACTTTACACTAACACTAAGTGACAAATGACGGGTCATTCTCATTTATACCTCAGGCTAAAGATGGCAAATCATTAACCCCAAATATCCAGGCAAGGCAGTATCAAACAGAGGAAAAAAATAACACTTTTCTGATAAATATCATCTTTATTGACAAAACATACAGTGAAGGTTTAAACAGGAATAGACAATGTAGCATGATGGAAGGTTTCACTCTTCATTCTTGTAGTCGGCAGCGACCTTCCTCTTTCCTTCTGAGTGGACATGGTTGCCCCAGGTGTATGTCAAGTACATGCAGATCATTGCTGGAAAAGAAGAACCGGAGAAGACGGGTTAGCGACTGAAAACAGGGGTGTGGCTTGGGAGGCATACACTGAAAGATACATTTCAGTACTTGGGAGGCATGTACTGAAAGATACATGTTTAGTTAGGCCATTTAAACATGCAAAGAGTCAGGAATTTTAACATGGGCAGACAGAAATTGTAACGGGAGGTCTTTACAGTGTGCCTCAGAGCACCACTCTCGTAGACTAAGTCGCAATGGACATGGCTTTCGGAAGCACAACAGTAGTCTAAAAGCTTCTACACATCTATCCAACTACAGTGAACAGACTACACACTGGGAAGATTATTTCAGCCGTCTACAGACGGTTAGGTAGGTTGTAGTTGAATAGCTATGTAGAGGCCTTAATATCCACGTGTTCATTACCTACATGAGGCCTAGCCCAATATTAGACCTCAAATTAATAAGACGAGGTCTATGGGCATTCCATAGTGACAGCGTGCGAAATAAGTCATGGTCCAATGACTACCTGCTAGCAGCATGTGTCCCACGTCCCAAGCTACATCCATAAAAATCGGTAGAATGGTTCCAATTGGAGAATCACCGTTTGTGTCGCCGAGCAGTGAACAAGAAACGATTAAATCCAGTTTAGATACAACCCCCTGCCCAAATCAAAACCTACTACGGATGCCAACGTTGTGCTGGCTTTGCGGGCACGTTTCCTCTACTTCCCGTCGGAGGCAGCATGGTGCCCATATTGGGAGGCTGATGAAGACAAACAGGTGTGAAATAGACCGGGTGTGCGGACAAAGTGAGAATACAACATGGAATCCATGTTTGGTTTTGATTTGGGGAGGGGGGGGGGTAGCGTCTAAACTGGATTTAATAGTTTCTCGTTCACTGCTCGGCGATGCAAACAATGATTCTCCAACCGGAACCGTTCTACCGATTGTGGATGTAGCGTCGGACGTGGGACATGCTGCTAGCAGGTAGTCATCGGACCATTACTTATTTTGCACGCTGTCACTATGGAATGCCCATAGACCTTGTCTTATTAACTAATTAAATCAGTGGTCTAATATTGGGCTACATCAGGCCATATTTATCAGGACTAGAGTAAATTTGAAAATGAGAAAAAAATAAAACTCCAGAATATGGATGGAGATGTTTGATAACGGGGAATTATCCTGCATAGTTCTTCCCAGAAAGCAACGTCTAAACTCTGGGAGTACTTACGGGGAGCAACTTTGAAGACGGATGATGTGAATCGTCTCCAGACGTTGGGGATTCCTTTGGAGAAGTAGTTGGGGAAAGCCCTCTGCTCGAAGGGGGACAGACTGTATGTAATCACATGCCTGATCTTGGCCAAATCTCCAAAGTGGCGACCCATGGAGTCTAGAGAGACGATCTGAAATGACAAGGAAGGAGTAGCGATGAGGAAAAAGGTGCAGTAGTTTAGATTGTGCAATGCAGTCGTCACACAACTAACGTTAATGGCATTAATGCAATGTGCATCTTGCCTGATGACAAACTGAATTATTCAGCTGTTTTAAGTTCGCTACATACTTCAGTCTGAGACTACCATTGTTTGTGGTGATGACAAAACGAGAGGTGTTTTACAAAACAAAGTAATCAGCGATTCCACCAATCAAGAGTATCAATTACTAATTTTTCTAAAATGCCGTTTTACCCACGGGTATTCTGGCTCTGGCCCAATCCAATCGGTTTCTGGGGACCAATCAAAACGGTTAGAATGCGTTTGCATTCTAGAAATCGTCGGGGAGGTACTCAGATCCAGACTCATTGCGGAGAAGAAACTAACTTCTGTGGGCGTGGCTTAGCGTTTGGCCCGGAGCAAGGAGTTTGGGTAGCCAGGCAACTGTGCATCTCCTCTTCTTAAGAAAATGGCAAACATGACAGCCAGCCAGTCTTCCACAATAGTAGCCAGAATATATTCTGATCCTACGATTGCTTACAGCTGCACTGGGGTCAGACAGGCTTCCTGTTTAGATTAATACACAGCGGAGCCGGCGCAAGATATGGCTCAAAATGTACCTCAATCCAGATTGAGCGACTGCTAGTTTTTCTGGAAAACTACCCTTTTTGTCTTCATGCTAGGTAGCAGAAGCCACAGCAGCCATTTTGGAATGGCAGTGTCAGCCAATCAGCTCCTTTGTTGTTCCAATGCGAAGTGCCATTCCATAATGGCTACTGCTAGCTAGCACGAGGACGAAAACAGCAGTTTACTTAAACTAGCAGTCATTCAATCCTCTCAGTGTAACAGTTGGGATAATGGGACAATTCTGAGTAAAATGCAATTTTTCATCCTTGGATTGAGGTACACTACATGACCAAAAGTATGTGGACACCAGCTTGTCAAACATCTCATTCCAAAATCATGGGCATTAATATGGAGTTGGTCCCCCCTTTGCTGCTATAACAGCATCCACTCTTCTGGGAAGGCTTTCCACTAGATGTTGGAACATTGCTGCGTGGACTTGCTTCCATTCAGCCACAAGAGTATTAGTGAGGTTGGGCACTGATGTTGGTAATTAATGTTTATCCTGGCTCGCAGTCGGCATTCCAATTAATCCCAAAGGTGTTCGATGGGGTTGAGGGCAGGGCTCTGTGCAGGCCAGTCAAGTTCTCCCGCACCAATCGACAAAGCATTTTTGTATGGACCTTGCTTTGTGCACAGGGGCATTGTCATGCTGAAACAGGAAAGGGCCTTCCCCAAACTGTTGCCACAAAGTTGGAAGCACAGAATCGTCTAGAATGTCATTGTATGCTGTAGCGTTAAGATGTCCCTTCACTAGAACTAAGGGGCCTAGCCCAAATCATGAAAAACAACCCAGACCATTATTCCTCCTCCACCAAACTTTACAGTTGGCACTATGCAGTCGGGCAGGTAACGTTCTCCTGGCATCCAAACAACCCAGATTCGTCCGTCAGACTGCCAGATAGTGAAGAGTGATTCATCACTCCAGAGAACGCGTTTCCACTGCTCCAGAGTCCAATGGCGGCGAGCTTTACACCACTCCAGCCGACGCTTGGAATTGAGCATGGTGATCTTAGGCTTGTGTGCGGCTGCTTGGCCACGGAAACCCATTTCATGAAGCTCCCGACGAACAGTTCTTGTGCTGACATTGCTTCCAGAGGCAGTTTGGAACTTGGTAGTGAGTGTTGTAACCGCGCGCTTCAGCACTCGGCGGGTCCCGTTCTGTGAGCTTGTGTGGCCTACCACGTCGCGGCTGAGCCATTGTTGCTCCTAGACGTTTCCACTTCACAATAACGGCACTTACAGTTGACCGGGGGCAGCTCTAGTAGGGCAGAAATTTGACGAACTGACTTGTTGGAAAGGTGGCATCCTATGACGGTGCCACGTTGAAAATCACTGAGCAACTTCAGTAAGGTCATTCTACTGCCAATCTTTGTCTATGGAGATAACATGGCTGTGTGCTCGATTTTATACACCTGTCAGCAACGGGTGTGGCTGAAATAGCCGAATCCACTCATTTGAAGGGGTGTCCACATACAACTGCACTTTTGTATAAATAGTGTAAGTCGGAACCTAGGCTGGCCACTACAATAGACATGTCATGTAATCATATTTCTAAAAATAAAATGAGTTATAGTTGTAAGTAAAAATGCACAATGTCAATAGACTGGATTAGAAATGTTTAAACGTGATACCTTAATTTCCAAGCACAACTGGATGGCAAACATTACATTAGCCAAGTTATCGTCAACACCAAACATTACATTAGCCAAGTTATCGTCAACACCAAACATTACATTAGCCAAGTTATCGTCAACACCAAACATTCGATGACATCTGTCACCCAGTGATACTACGACACGTAAACTCGTGTCTGACAGATAATAGAAAATATGAAGGCGATAAAACCTATCTAGCTAGTTAGAAAATGAGATTGTACAAGAGTGAGGCCAAACGGGGGTAACCAGCTAGCCAGTACAAGTAGCTAACATGAAGACCTTGCTTGACATTCACGCCACTATTTAAAAGGTGTGTAATGGCACGATACTCTTATTTCGTAAAATCCCAAGAACATACACTGATATGACACCTATACAGGTGATTAAAATTGTCAAATGAATCACAAAACCTTAAACGTTCAGTATCTCTTACCGTACTGCTTCTCAAGACACGGGTTAATTGGGGTTGATATCGTTGCTGCTCTTCTTCTTCAGTGGGGTTTATCGGCGGTTGGCATCCAACGTTATAGTGCATTACCGCCACCTACTGTACTGGAGTGTGGGCGAGAGACACGGATAAACTAAATCCTAACTGCCAGCCCAGTTGCTCTTAAAAAAGATAACAAAATATTTGAGACTATATCAAATGACGTTCTACTCAATATATACTCTTTAAACTAATGTCCTGTATCCCCTTCTCCCTCATACTAGATCTCATCCTCTCTCTTTCCCTCTGATACTGCCCACACTGTAGCAATACATGCTCCACGGTCTCTGTTTCCTGGCAATAATTACACTTTCCTGTGGGATGCTTTCCTATCACATTTAATGTCTTATTCAACTGGCTGTGTCCCACCCTTAATCTTGTAAGAATAGCCTCCTCTCTTCTGTCCCTTCCTGCCGTCCTCCCCTCCCCAACTTTCCTCTGTACTTGAAATAAATGCCTTCCCTTATTATTTCTATTCCACTGCTCCTGCCATCTCTGCACCATCACTGTATATATAAGGCCTTTTTGCCTCTGCCTTGCTCATGGAAACTTCAACATCAACATCCCCACTACTAAGTGCTTGTTTAGCCAGTACATCTACTGCCTCGTTCCCCTCCACCCCCACATGGGCTGGGACCCAAGTAAATCTTATCTGTATACCCATCTGTCAAATCAAATCAAATCAAATCAAATTTTATTGGTCACATGCGCCGAATACAACAGGTGCAGACATTACAGTGAAATGCTTACTTACAGCCCTTTTTTTTTTTTTTTTTTTTTTTTAGGGGGGATGGATCAGCTTAATATTGCAGATAGATTGTATCTTCTATCAATGTAATTGTCTGCATCACTTCCAATCCCCCATGTTTATTTTTATTTTTTATATATATATTCCCCTTTATTACTTTTCAACCCCACCATCCTTTCCCTACTTGGAGTAAATTAGTGAACAACAACGCCCAGGCCTCTACTTCCGGTCTATACTTACTATCTACACCTTATGGACAGAGTTAATTTTACAATAATTCTATATCTATATATATATATATATATATATATTTTTTTTTTGCTCCTGAACTTCTTCTACTCTCAACCTCTCCGATCATTTTCATGATGTCCATCCGGTTTGCTTCTAAATGCCATATCTTTCTAACTGTGCTCTTTCCCAAAAGCTCCCAACATACAACCTATATACTTATTATGGACACAGTATGCTTACATTATTAGCTATCTTTGTTATTATTTGTTGTTATTTGTTATTAGTCCCATCCTTCAACTCTATTCAATACCTCCCATCTATCTCTTAACACCATCCATATAGGATTTCTATTTGCCATATATATTTCAACCGTACTGTGATGTTTTACAAAAGTTCTGAACCTTTCTATTCTCATTGCTTCTACAGATTGTGAATTAAAAATAAACATTTTTGCTAAAAGTATTATTATATTATTGATTGATTGACTATGACTTTTCAGATCACCCAGTAATGCTATCTGCAAGGTTAGTTCCAGGTAAATATTGCAATCCTTTAGCCATTCCTGGACCTGTGTCCAAAAACAAGCTACAAATGGACAGAACCAAAACAAATGATCTAATGATTCTATCTCTTCACAGCAAAATCTGCAGAGCTGGGAAGATTGTATCCCCCATATAAATAACATTCTATTGGTAGCAAGAATTTTATATAATAATTTAAATTGAAAGATTCTAATTTTTGAATCCGGTGTCGTTTTGCGTGTCAGTTCATAAACACTATGCCATGGGATCGGTACGTCAAAGATCTCTTCCCAACTATTTTGCAATCTATATGGGACGGCTGTCAATCCTTTGGTCCTTAAGTGAAACTGATATACTTTTTTATTTATCACAGTTTTCCTTAACCAATTATGTTCTTTAATGCAAGGCCGACAGACAAGTTCCTTACTTTCTCCCCCTTCAACTTTCCTCTTCCACTTGCTTACTTACAGCCCTTAACCAACAGTGCATTTATTTTAAACAAAAAAAGTAAGAATAAAACAACAACAAAAAAAGTGTTGAGAAAAAAAGTGACAGTAGGGAGGCTATATATACAGGGGGGTACCGTTGCAGAGTCAATGTGCGGGGGCACCGGCTAGTTGAGGTAGTTGAGGTAATATGTACATGTGGGTAGAGTTAAAGTGACTATGCATAAATACTTAACAGAG